TGTGTGTATGTGTATTTATATACATTTTGTCACCTTTAACTGTTGTATGGTTCTCCTCAAAACCTTGATTTCTTCTTTGTAGTTGCTTTCCAGCACTTCAATCTTGTGAGCTTCACTCTTTATCCTTATATCATTTTCCTCTTTCTGTTCATCCATTTTTTTCAGCAGATCCTGTTTCTCCCTTTCTAGATCTTCAACCTACAAATGTAAAAGACACAGTAGGAATACCACAGTAACCAGTTGCATCTGGAAACCAAGAGTGCTCTCTGCTGGATTTTTAACTTAAATCCAATACCATAGTTTAAGCCAGAAAGGGTTGAAATTATTAAATATTAACAAAAAAATAATAATATATGCCCTTACCCTTTTATTTAAATCCACAGTTTCAAGTTCAGATTGTAGCGCCTTTCTGTAGCCATAAAGAATGCTGCTTTCAATCATCTTCTGGTAGGTTTTGATGGTCATCTGAATCTCGTCTCTGACTCTAAGCAGAAGCAGACCCATCTCAGCACAGGTTATGGTGCTCTGCCTGATTAATTCATCTAATGGTGATAGAAATTAATGCATTGTCAAAGTTATAAGTGATCCAGTCTTGTGTAATTTTGACAAATATGTCCATATAGATAAAAAGATTTACTAGAAATCCTAGGTTTGAATCTACATACAACATTTACAGGAATTTCAAATGTTTGTTCCATCTAATCTTTAAAATAATTGTTCCAGGTGGAAAAAATTACACATTTTTTTCCATTTCAGTTTAAAATACACTAATACATCTCCAGAAATATTTGAATAAACAATCCTTTCCAAGAGTCTGAGAAACTATGTTCTGTCTGTAGATATTCCCAAGCTTTTCACTGATTATCTTTGGTGCTTTAGCTACTTTTCCAGGCATTGTTAATCTAAATTAAAATAGTTTGTACAGTTAGGCACAGACCCAGCTTTTAATCATAGCCTATAACAATTAACCAAATGGTCGGCTTCGGTCAGATGCATCTATTCCTTGCTTCCCGCTTGCTTATATTTTCTTACTTTTTACCATCTTATCTCTTAGCCAAAGCCACAGAAAGTTGGACAAAACAATTTTTTCAAGGATTCCCTAGCTGGGCTACTTAATAGAAAATTTTTATATGATCACACTGCAGAGGACAAGTCCACATCAGCACAAAATGCCTCCCTTCACCACACTGGACTTGGACAAGCTTCTACAGAGGATGGCTGTCATGGAAATGAAGATTAAATAACTGGACCTAAATGCTGGTCATGAAAATGTTACAACCCTGCCAGTTTCGACCTTGACGGTGTCTGAAAACACTGAGATGACCCCACCTGTGGTTTTAGCCAGCAACATGTCGGAACAACTAACCAACAGAACTTTGGGAAACAGGCCGAGTCTAATGAAAATAACCACACTGGTAGCTGGTGTGGTGGGATGGTGTTCCACCAGGCCCTCTCTGTGCACCAAGTGTAGCAAGAAGCAAGCCGTTGATTGGTGGGCAGGGCAGGTGGCCTTATAGCTGAGCAGGCCTCTACAAGTTGCATCTGTCTTTGTTTTACCTACATGTCAGCTGCCTAAGTGGCTGGTGTGCTTGATCTGCTAATGTGAAGGTTACCCCTTGTTTGCTTATTATTGAAGTTAATAAAGGGTTTGCTTTTATTTTGAGTTACTAATTTATTTCCTTTTGCATTGCATGTTTTGTTCTTTTTTTTTTATAATTTAAATTTCCCTTATTTCCTATTATCCCTTTTCTTTCCAGAGACAGAGTAGTAGGCCTGAAGCCATGTTTTAACAAATGTTTTAAAGAAATTCTTTAATTAAAATATTGTGGACTATTCTGTGTTCTGGTGCATCTTGTTTTAAAAAGTTCCCCCTTTTGCGGGTCACACTGGGAAACTCTTGGAGCAAAGCCAAAGAACAAACAATCCGACCCAGATCTGAAAAGACCCCAGACAGTGTTGACGCCAAATCTAGATGACAAAACCTGGGCAAGACTTCAGAGAAACATGTCTTCTTCAGATGCAAAAAGCAGTTTGTTCCCCAAACTAAGAAAGGGGTTACTGAGAGTATAGGTATTCCACTAAACAGGTTTGCTGCCTACTGGATGACCTGTTAAGAGAACAGCCAGTTTCCAGACAAGGTAAGACAACATTTAACAAGTAGGGTGACCATATTTTCATTTGGAAAAACCAGGACACCTTGGAAGGGGGGGGGTCTCTGTTCCCATGCATAGAGATGTCTGTGGCATGCACTCACTTAACATAGGCCTACGTAATCCTACAATAACATTATATTTACAGTTGATTTATTAAAAATGCTTTTCAGTAAAAGTCAACAGCAATAACTCCAATAACAAACGATAATCTTATTCAAAATGTATTTATTAAAAATGCTTAACAATTCCTGTAATGAATGAATAGCACAATGAAAGAAATAATGTCTCATCTAAACATCCCTCAATTAACAAAAGTTAACAATAACTCTCAACTCCCAATAACAGATGATACTCAGCCTCAGCAATGAACAAAATAATGTCTGTTCTGTAGGCTATTGGAAAAAATAAATTAACAAATAAGCTAATTAACAAAAAATACCTCTAGTGTGGGAAAAATATCTCAAAATGTACCAAAAACGAACAAACATATCAATTGACTATCTTTACTTTTAGTGTCCAGGTGGCTTTTCAGATTCCTTGCACCTCCATTAGACACCACGACATATGTGCCTGCTTTGCACACTGTGCACAAGGCCTCCCATTTGTCTCGACCCGGTCTGAAAGCGATTTACTCTTTTGTAAATCGCCGGTAAACATACATTTCCGCTTTTGCATGTTGTTGGCGTACTGACAGCCACGCTATCTATATTCTGATTAAGAACAGGGCTGCCCACACTGACGCGGCTCAGGGATTACGCCGTGCGCAGTGCCGTAGTGCCTGTAAATTTAATGGTCCAATTAAGGTAATTTAAAAAATCAGGACATTTCCTCATTTTCTTCAAAGAACCCGGGACGCCCGGCACAGGACGTGAAATACGGACATGTCCCGGGAAATACGGACGTTTGGTCACCCTACCATAAGTATCTGACAATGCTTTGAATGAGATTAGATGCTTCTGCAACTAGAAAAATGCAGAAATGTTGAATGTTGGCTGTAGCTTCCTGTCTGAAGCCTCAAATGAGAATTGCACAGATCCATCCAATCGTGAAGAACTTGGTCGTTCACATAGGAATGATGTTGCTAAGAGGAAGTCAAAATTGCAGAGACAGGATTAGAGTTCATAACACTAGGAGACAGTCTCATTTTAAAGCGTACATTAAGGGCCCTGTCCCGTCACCTTCAGCAGGAAATGAAGTGTTCAGAGTTTCCTACCTGAATAAATTCACCAAATGTGCCTGTTCACCAAGATTAATTGGCTTTATTGATAACATCTTCTGTGAAAAGGGACCCGAATAGAACAAATGGAATATCTTTGTAAAAAAAAAAAAAAACTCTTCCTCTTTGCAGCCAAACACTTCCTGAAAGCCATAATCACACCCCACACCCCCACCCCAACTGGCTCTGTCTACTTCACATGCTAGATGGTAACATTGGTATTCAGGACCTTCAAATCACTTTGTTGCGACGACACACAGCTTTACATCACAATGTTACCAGGTGACTATGAACCCATCAGGGCATTGTGTAGATGCTTAGAATAAATCTATATTTGGATGCACCATAACTTTCTTCAACTGAATAAAAACAAATCTTAGGTAATAATCTTCAGACCAAAGTAAGAGAGCTTCATGGACTACAGCTGGAAACTACTGATTATGGCCGAAATGTTGGTGTCATGAGGGACTCAGACCTGAACATTCAGAGGCAGATAAAGACAGTTACTAAATCAGCCTTTTATCACCTGAAGAACATTTTATTTTATTTTATTGTTTAATTAATGTAAAGCATTGTTTGAATTGTCCTTGAACCGAATTTTACTGTACAAATAAATTTGCCTTGCCTAAAGGGGATAAGACTGAATGTAGAATTGAAGTTACATGTGAGCTAGTCTTGTTTAAAATAAAAAAATAAGCTTTGATTTGCTTTTATGTTATTGCACTTAGTTGAGCCTGTTTTTCAACCATTTACTCGGTGAGGTAAGATTAAAGGAACTTTTTTTTCTCTTACCTGTTTTAGATAATTGTTTCTTGATGACTCTAAATATTTGTCTTGACACTGGCTCAACAACTCTATCATTGTCTCATCCTCATCTTGTAATAAATATTTTCTCTAGAGATCATTTAGCTTTTCCTGAAATTTTCAACTGCATATTTCAGTCATGCTCAAAGGCATTGACCTTGGAACGGACATTCTTTTTTAGTCAGGAACACTCCAGTCCATGTAGGCTATGAAGACTAATGTAGGCCTTTTTAAGGCTTGAACCTTGATGGTTCCCAAACATCTAAACAATTTCCCTTTAATCTGATTTTGAATGTTTGTGTCAGATGACTGAAACTTTGGAGAAAACTGAGCGATGAAATAAGACAATGTTTCATAACTAGTTGTTGAAGGCTAACAAACTCTCTGAATAGCCTGCCTAAAATCAAGAGTATTCTTTTAAAATCTTCATTCATACAAAGAAAACTCACAAGTTGAAATTAATGCTACATTTCCCCCCCATATCTTTGGTCAGTTGTACATAATGATGCAAGAAGCTTGATGACTTTAAAAAGTGTGTAAGCAAGCAGAAGCTTGCTAAAATACTGTGAGCAACTCCTTACCAAAACACTGAGAATAAAGCTCTCTGCGGATGGGACAGAGGCCTGTAAGCCTGGCCTGTCTCTGCTGCAGCTTTGTATCCAGCTGTTTCTTCAGTTGGATAACATCTGCTCTTGTAGACGGAGCAGTAGATACCTTCTGCACCCACAGCAGATTTCCGTCCATCCATTCCCTGCAACATTAATGGTTGAGAGTAAATTGTTTGAAATAAATAGGACAGTTTTTACTAAATAAGAACATGGGCATACCTGGGTGGAAAAATGACTTCCAGGACCTCCTTGGTTTCCTCATTGTCTTCACTTATTGCAGGTTTTGATTTAGAAGGTGGAGTAGCTGGTTTGAAGTCTGATGGCTGCTGAGGGATTGTTCCTGTTTTATGCAGCTGTCCAGAGAATACCAGATAACAGAAAAGCTATGTGAACATTTAATAGTTGAATCTATTTAATAGTTGAATGCACCTAAGAGCACTTTAAAGACACCAGTTAAAAGTTGTGTCTTTAGCTGTGGAGGACCAAGAGAGAACAAGCGTATGGTTGAGGAGAAGATAAAAGCTGCGTGCAGCAGCTCTTGCTGCAAAGCAACAGGGCTGTAAGCTGTGCAGCCTGCTCTTGAGGTAATGTCATTTAAAGAAACATTGTTCAGGTGTGTACAATCATGGGAAGAAAATAGCCGACCACACTGAAAAAAACTATCTAGAAATAATTAAAAAATGTTCTTAATTTACGTTGGGAGTGTTGGCCTTGTGATTAGAGCAGTGCGCTTGTGCTCTGAGAAGGTTGCAAGTTTCGATCTCCACAGACTGCCACTCTGGATCCCTGAACCAGACTCTGAACTCCACACTGCCGCACAATGGCAGCCCACTGCTCCCCAAGGGGATGGGTTAAATGCAGAGATAAATTTCTCCAAATGAAATCAATAAAGTTTTCTATTTTTTAATCTATTCATTTATTTTAAATTCAGTGTATTTCCCCTTAATTTTAGTAGGTAAATACGATTTGATTTCCTTTGGAATGAGTAGTTATTAATTGGCCTTTAATCCTAAAATAAGATCATTAGATTTTATATTCCTGAAATAAGAGAAGGCAAATTGTTTTTCCCTTATTTTAAATGTAAATTGTCTTGAAAACATTGGTGGAAGGAAAGTGTGGTGTGTAAAATATAAACAAGTACAGTCTGGATATCCTTATGAAGCAAACCTCTCATCAAAGACTGAATCCAGAATAAGAGCTATAACTTTTTTTTTTTTTTTTCGCCGTTGGGTGAAGACACTCCTTAAGCAATCAACTAAGAAACTATTTATTCTTCCTTGAAAAAATTACTATTTTATTTAGCTGTAATCCATTTTCGTTGAAATTAATTAGTATACATGGAGGCCTAATTGAATTATTATTATTATCATTATTATTATTATTATTATTATTATTGTTGTTGTTGTTATTTTAACCACATAGGCCAAGTCTTTTCGGTTATATTGGAATTTATTTCAACGCACATAGCTATTATGTTGTGGTGGTCCTGCCGCATAAATCTTGGTCCGATTATGTACAAACCTACCATTTCAATGTGACTGCAGCAAACTCACCTTTGGAGATTTAGTCTCTGAATTCTTGATCGACATCGGATTATTATATTTCAGAAGAGAATCGGATGTAGGAATCATTTTTCACGCCCTTTTTTTTTTTTTTTAACACAAAGGAAAAATAAAATAAGTTTTGCCCGCAGACACCGAAACTTATTTGCTCGTTGAAGTTTGTTGTAACTGTCGTCATGGTAACGGTGTCCTGTCGTTCCTGACGTCTTTTAAATGGCATGGCAGAAAGAAGTACTTAAGCTGTGCTTAAATTATCAAAACAAGAACCAAATATATGATCTTTTTTGATGAAGGTTTAGTTTTTCTAAACACACAAAAAACGGTATGTCAGCTAGTTTGACAAATCGTGATTGGAAATCTGGCAATCGGAAAAAAAAAAATATTTAATTGAATTTATTTGAATTTATTTTTTGACTCAGTAGCCACCTAATGTTCGCTTATGACACTCTTTAATATTTTTACACCTAACAAGAACTATAAATTATACTTATTAATAAGTAAAACAACAGCACCTTAGATATAGGCTATATATGTGGCCAATTTGAATGTGCAACGTCAAAAGTAGCGGAACTTTTAAAGAAGGCAAAGATTCTGCCGAGAACCATTTTCTGTGTACCACAGGAACCGGAACTGGTTGTAACGACGCAGTGCCAGAAGTTTTGTAAGGGTTTGAAGCAGGTTTTTGTTGACTTTTTTTGCGTAAAGATGTACATTTAGTTCCACTATATCCATATTGCTACATTTATTTTCTCTTAAAATGACAAAAGAGAAACGGCACCGAAGAAGGGAGTCTCCGACGCGGGAGACCGAAGTAAAGATAAAACAGGAGAAACTGAGCCCCAGCAGGCCACAGCGATCACGCCGATCCAGGTCCAGATCTACCGGGACATCGAGTCCACCGAGAAGAAGAGGGAGCAGGTATATTTAATAAGATCCTTATACAGAATTAATTATATCACTTTTAGACACGCATTTAGCCTTTGTATTTGTTGAGTAGAATATATATCGGGAGTGATTTGTGTCCGTTTATCCGAACAGCGATGTTGTTGCTTCTATTGGGGGGCATTTTTTTAAACTATATATATATATATATATATATATATATATATATATATATATATATATATATATATATAGCAATAAATTGATAAAATATACAGAATCTGCAGGCTCGAATACTGATAAAAAATAACATTGAATATATTTTTCGCTTTTTTTAACTGTTTCCTTACTCCCATCCATAACCTGTTGCAGCACTGAATGCTGCATCTTTCTTTACTGCCTCAAATCTATATTTTTTTTCCCCCGCACCTACGATCGCATCACTATCCATCAATCTTCTCCAACTTAGTCCTGTCAGGGTCGCGGTGGGGCCGGTGCCTCAGGCAGTCAATGGCCAAGAGGCAAGGTAGATCCTGGACTGGTCGCCAGTGTATTACTCACAGCTAAAGGCCAATTTAGAGAAGCCAATTAACCAATTAAGCCATGGTTGGACTGTGGGAGAAAGCCGGAGCACCGGGAGAGAACCCACGAATGCACAGGGAGAACATGCAAACTCTATGCAGAAAGACCCCCAGGCCAGGAATCGAACCCAGAACCTCCCTGCTGCAAGGCAGTAGTGCTACCCACTGCACTATTGTATCGATTTTCTGTTGCTTTTTTCCCCCCCCCCCGAATGTTTTTGGTGTCATTCTAAAATTGAATACTATTTATGTCATGCCCCTGTAATGGGATAGAAGCATTACTGTCTGACACAGAGTGCTTGTGGTTCTGGAACTGTTCAGACAGCAAATGTATACTTAAACATAATTTAAAGCTGCTTAAAGGTTGATGATGATTTGGAGAGATTATTTTAGTTGACAATAACCAAAGACTTCTGTTTTTACACATTTTCTCACCTTTATCTTACATTGCTGACTCCCAAACGTCAGCTAATTTCCTGATTTATCCGTACATACTGACTGTTTTTACTTTCTTCCATCTGTTATTAACTCCTTTCTTTTAAGAATCCCTGATCAACTGGCACTTCATGTATGTTTTATGAAAGTTTCACACAGAGTATAGCTCGTACGTAAACTAAACAGAATTTGTAAATAATCTAATGGCAGTCTCATTTGAAAATGAGGCTTTCACTTTCTTGTAGGCTGTAATGATGTGTTTAAATACTCTTCAATCTTCGTCAGTGATATGCAGAGGTGAAAATGTAGACCTTTGGAAAAAGGTTTTGACTTTAATATGGTACTGCCTAAAATGACAGTCACATATTTAAAACTAATTCAAGATTTTACTTGATTTCGTAGTGAATTAAGTATTCAAACGTATGTGCTTAGCTAAGGAGTCTGTTTGGTCTGTCATGTAGATCACCACCCAGGGCTAGGCAGCGCTCGCTGGACGGAAGGACAAACTCTCCTGTTGGAACAAGTAGAGGATCTCCCAGAAACAGAAGAAGCCGCAGTCCTCATCGTGGTGGTGATGTCAAAATTAAGCGGGTAATTAGAATAGGTTTGAGTTTTCAAATCAACAAAATGAGTGGTGCTGGGATTGAAACCCACTATATCTATACACATGTTGGTTGTGCACCAGTGTTTACATCCATCAAACGTTGTTGTATTGTTTTTCTACAAAATTCTGTGTGCTTCACTGTAATAACGGACCAAAAAAAGTAGTCCAGGGGGGGCGGTATGGGTTGTTCTAAAATAAAAAAAATACCAATTAAAAGTTCTTGATAGTGTGGATTGTATTAAGCACCATCTAATATGAAACTCTCAATCAACTCCCCTAACAATTTATATTAAAAATATACGGAGTCTACCATCTCTGTTTACTACTATAATGATGTAATAAAGCCAGCTGTTCAGTGTAGGATTCCATATATTTGTTTCTTTCTCCATAAACCATGATGGGTACAGGGCAGACATCTGGAACAAGGTGCAGTGAGCTCTATTCAAAATGCATCAATGTGAAGAGAAAACACTTCACATAAAGAGGCCATCCAAACTATAAAGCATGGTGTTGGCAGTGTTGTGCTATGATGATTTTTATCAGTCTTTAAATTTGTAATATACAAATTAATTCAACTTTTTAGTTTTGATTTTGTTTTTTTTATAGCCACTAGTAACTTAAAAAAAAGGTTGTCTTGCTGTTATTAGAACAGCATGGAATCATTTCACTATTTTACCAACACTAGGAAGCTTTTATTCATACAAATGGTGTAAATGATATAGCACAACATATATTCACTCTGTAAATGCTTTCTTTGTAAATGCCACAGGAAAGGGACGAACATAGGGCAGGTGGTGATGGCCGAAGAAAGAGGAGTGACCAGTCGGATGATAGACGGAGCCGATGGGAAACAGACAGGTCACGGGAAAGGGAGCACAACAGAGACAGGAACCGAGAACGAACTGCCCTGGCTTCTCAGCAAGACGAGCGTCGGCAACATGATGAGCGGCGCAGGGAAAATCGTCAACGGCGTGAAGAAGAAGAAGAGGACCTTAACTTTGGAACATCCGAAGGAGGGAGTGATGACTCCAGGGCTCCTCCTGCTGAGAAAGAGAAGCCCAACTTTGAACTGTCAGGCGCGCTCACCGAAGACACCAACACATTCCGGGGAGTGGTGATCAAGTACAACGAGCCCCCTGAGGCTCGCATTCCAAAGCGTAGGTGGAGATTGTACCCCTTTAAGAATGATGAACCACTACCTGTGATGTACATCCACAGACAGAGTGCCTATTTGTTGGGGCGACAGCGAAGAATCGCTGATATCCCCATTGACCATCCCTCGTGCTCCAAGCAACATGCAGTATTCCAGTACAGGTGGGAAGAAAACCTGCCATGGCTGTTTTCTGACAATTTAGATGACTTTTTTATTTTTTTGGACCATGTTTAACTTTAATTATAAATGTTAATTGTGGTTGTTTGTTTTGCAGGTTGGTGGAGTATACTCGAGCAGATGGCACCACTGGCCGCAGGGTAAGGCCTTACATTATTGACCTTGGTTCTGGAAATGGCACCTACTTGAACAATCAGCGGATTGAACCCCAGCGCTACTATGAGCTCAAAGAAAAAGATGTTCTTAAGTTTGGCTTCAGCAGCCGCGAGTACGTCCTGCTGCATGAGTTCTCCGATACCAGCGAAGTGGATGTAAAGCAGGAGGAAGAAGATGACGAAGGGCTTGATGAGTGATAGCCCATTATACGATATTTGAAATTGTTTTAAAATAAAGCTGTGTGCTTAAAAAATGACTTATAAACTGGTAAAGGCAGGAATTGTTTACTGAAAGCGAGTAGTGTTGTAAATATTCTGTAAGAAATGAAGTCTTGCTTTATCCTGCCACAGTCGTGTCAAAATAGACCTCTTTTTCTCAGGTTTGTGGGATGCATGATTGATCTTCCTGATCTCATGTAATGTGTCAGGGTACCAAACATGACTGCAGTGTGCACCCTGGACTCTTAAAGCTTTCTTATTAACAGAATAAGTATAGACCTACAGATTGCATTTATTTTTCTTTTGACCTTTTTTTTTGTAGAACAAGCAGGAGAAATATTTGTCTCTGCATCACTGCAATGGGTATTCAGAGACTGCCATGTTTTTCAGTTCATATCAATTTGTAGTAAGTGTTATTTTTTGTACTGTAAATAAAAAAAAGTGACCGGTTGTGGCTGTTTTACATTCTTAGCGTTCCTGTTATACTTAAAGAATATTAATTAATGTAGGCTTTGTTGGTGTACATATATTTTTTTATGCATGATTCAGAATGGTAGATCAGATCAGTAGATTAGTGTATATAATAAAAGCAATGATCTCAGGCTTTCCTTTCCTGAAAAATCACCCCAACATGTAAGACACACTATCTCTGCATGTAATTTACCAAATGAATATATTTTTTTGCCAATCAGTTTAGATGTGACTGCTAATACTATTTTTTTTTTTTTTTTTTTTCAAATTTAGAAGTTGAAATATGTTGAGGTTATAATGTTGTAAAAAAAATCTAGAAAAAAGCCAGACAGATTTTAATAGTGGATTTGAAAACAATTTATTATTCCAAATGGGAAATCAAATGTAGCTATTAAACTTTTTTCAAGTTATTGATGTTGAAAGCTGCAGACAGGAATGATCTTCTGTAGTAGTCTTTTTTTTAATGCACTGTATTGTTAATGGTCTTCTGAAGAGAATGCTCAAGTCTTTCCATATTGGCCTTCATCTTATAAAGAACTGCCAAATCATCCCCAGAGGTTCAAGAATAGTTCCTAGAAGATAACTGGCACTATAACAACTGGCAATAACTTCTATTTAGAAAACACAACATGCTATCTTTACGCCATCTCCTAATCCACACTGAGGCTCAAAGCAGAATTTAATTAAAGCACCAAGTATGATAGCTTAATATCTGCTTTATGTCACATTTGTCTGAACTACGGCTGAAACAATCAGATGAATCATGATTAATGGATTATTGGAATAACTAACAAATTCAGTAATCGATAAATTTTCAATTGGAGTATAGAGACTCTCAAACAGCCCTTAGTTGACAGAGCAACCCACTAAGAGCAGAAATTATATGAAAATTGTAAATAAAAAATATATAAACATTTTGCATTTAAGATTAAAAAAAAAAAAAAATTTAATCTGTCAATATGCTCTATCCAGAACTCCTCAAGTTGAAAAGTTTGTTTCCCCTGGTTTAATTTTGTAAAAAGTCTTCTTTAAGGAGCCTTTGGCTATTAGATTATTAATCCATTAATTGAAAACATAACAGATTAATCAATTTGGTAAATAATCGTTAGTGGCAGCCCTACTAAACAAAAATACTAAATAACATGCAAGTGTGTAGCTCAAATCTCATAAGATAATATTCATTGGTCATAAAGTTATACTGGCTAAAAAGAGGATTGAAATTACCAAACAGAAATGCTTTTGGGATTCCTTTCTTGCAGGTGGGCCTAAAGCAGCTGCTTAGCTGATGCTAGGATTGCCCTGATTGGTGGCTGTATGTTGGAGTAGCTCTGCTAACATGATTTTGATGTATTTTTTTTTAAGAATTTGATTCTCTTCATTGAACTATTATTATTTTAGTTTTTTTTTTTAGTTTTTTTGCCTCTGGTGTTTGATGCTGTACAACTGGTGGATTTTTGCCAGTATTTTTTTCTTCTCTGGACACTTGTTATTGTGTAGCGATAGCAATCATAACAAGTTGGTATTTTACACCCTGGAGCAGCTATTTAACATCTCAAAAGCTTGAATAATACTTCAACTACTTTCACAAGTACCAGCTGAGTTAAAAACGACGCACAGAGGATGCAGTGCAGGAGCAAGGAGAAAAGAGAAGAGCAGTAACAATCATTCTGAGCAATGTGAGATCTTTAGGAAACAAGTTAGAGGAACTCCAAGGACCCAACCAGAATATCAAGATGCATTATGTGTTTTAATTGAAACGTTGTTGCACGATCATATCCCTCCAGTGTCTCTGCCAGGGTTTCTAACCACACAAGCAGACAGAGATTTAGAGAAGGATGGAAATCTCAAGGGAGATGGGATGGCAGTGCATGTGAGTAACAGATCCAGGACATGTTACAGTGCAGATTTGTCTTTGTAACCCAGATATTAAACTGGTAGCAGTCGTTTTTCGTCTTTAGTATTTGTCCAGAGTTTACTGGTGTTCTTTCGGTAATTGTTTACATTCCACTTTCTGCTGCTGCCCCACTTTGTGTGATGTCTTCAGTTTATTTGTTGTCAAGCTACAGACACAACAGCCAAATGCAATTGTGGCAACAATTGTTAACAATTAAGTGTTTATTTTGAATACTTTACAAACTTTATTACCATTTTCTATATACAGAGTGTATACAAAACCAAATTACAATGTATACAGCTTACAACAGTGAAATGAACATTACCATCTATAAAGTGCAGCAGTGATCAAGAATCTAGACAGTGTAGGAGAAATGGAAAACCCGTTTAAAGTCATGCTACACACCTCACTGTCTGTTACATGTCTCACTGTCTGCTAAACTGCCACCATTACAACAGTTTGTCAGCTGCTATACCAGAGAAAACTAATCTTAGGACTTCGTCCTATGCAAATTAAAAGACTCATACATCTCTTAAACAAGACAGCCTCTAGGGAAGCTGGATCACAAACTTGTTTTGCCCTGCTTGGAGTAAAATCCTCTTTGTAAGAGACAAACTGCTGTAAAAAGAACTGGTCACACAAGGCTGATGAAACCCCGCATTGTTGTTTAGATGCTACGCACTGGAATGTTGGCCACATGGAGAGGACTTCAATGCAACAACTGAGTGTGTGATTGACTACATAAACTTCTGTGTAGATATACCATCCCCCGGAACAATTACATGCTTCCCCAATTAAAAACTCTGGAACGCTAGGGATGTGAAAGAACTGCTAAACAAGGAACAGAGAGCCTTCAGGAAGTGAGGCAACAAATGATTTAGTATAAAGGATAGTATACAACTATAGGTCAAGATATAAGAAAACAAAGAGGCAGGAACAGGCCAGAAAACAAGCTCCAGATAAACAAAATTAGAGACGTGTGATCCGGAAAGAAGATGATGACAGGCTTCAAGCAGAAGGAGGTTCAGACAGATGGAAGTCTGTCCACACAGAGGCAATGAAGTGAACACATTCTTAAATAAACTGCAAAAAATTTAAATCCTTGTAAATCTGTAAGTCAATTTTTCTTAAATTCAGTGCATTTCTTCTTGACTTAAGGAGCTAAATGAGACATTTTGCTGATGGAATAAGACACTTTACATAAAAAAATAAGAAAGAAAATGTGTAGTCCCTTAAATCAAGTGAATAATACCTAATTATCTTATTTTAAGGCTAAAAATACTAATTCTATTGGCAGATCATCTTATTTCCCTATTCAAATAAATGGTAAATAAACGTATTTTAAGAATGTTTTACTCATTTAAAGATGTTTTTGCAGTGATAGGTTCAGTTCAGAAACAATGTCAGCTTTCTTCTCTTCTGCTCAAAGTCAAAAGGACATTCTTCTGTCCTTTGACCCAAAGCTTCTCTGTAACACCTTAAATGTTTCCCCTTCTGCCATAGACCTGCATGCTTCAATGCTCTTGTTCTCTGACAAATCAGAAGATGCTGCTTCTCCCGCTGCCTCCCAGCTGTCTGTCTCTAGAAGCGAAGTCAAGAGAAAACTGAATGATAATGATTCACCAGGTCCAGATGGTGTCCTAAAGACTTGTGCAATGCAGCTTTGTTGGATTCTACAGCCCCTCTTTAACCCCAGACTGACTCAGGAGACTTTTAAGTTTTGTGGAGGATATCCAGCCTTTTCCATTCCAAATCCAAAAAACACTCAGCCAAGCAAGCACACATGCAGCTATCAGGACTGCTAGTTTGCCTATTACCATGACGTTGGAGTCAAAGAGGTTATCATATTCTCCTTCAACAAACCCATTGCAAAAAAGAAAAACAGGTGAGTTACAACAACATTGAATTTCCCTTCGGGATTAATAAAGTATTTTTGAACCTGAATTAAAACGTTTGTCTATGCAACAGGTTAGGTCTGTTTGAGGCAGTGAACCACGTGAACAGATCTGAGCATCATACAGACAGTAGGTGCTTCAGTGCCTTACCTGATATCAAGGTGTTTCATAATGTGAGAAGATAGAGCTGCTTTTCAGCTTGTAATCAGTTCCAAACAGTTCGGTAAAGTTAATCTACAATTTATGCATCACAAATAGGTTGTAGAGTGATGTGATGAAATTTCATTCTGGAAATTGCATAAAAAAAGAAAAAAAATTCAGGAAATAATCAGAAAAAAAAATTCCCCCTAAAGGCTGTGAAAGCAATCGTCTCCATGCAGGCAGACACAAAATCTATACAAGAACAAAAACAACTTGGAGTATATGTTTTATTTATTTTTTTCGCATAGGTAATTTGCATAATTTCTCCTGGATTTTTTTCATATAGTTGAAAGTTTTACTTCACATCCTCTAGGTGTCGCCAAATGGACCAAGAAAAAACCTGAAGGTTATGGCCCCTGGGTTTGTATGCCTATGCCAGGGGTCTGAACTCCATTTGAGGGCCACTATCCTCCAACTTTTAGATGCATCTTTACTACAACACTCAAACGTGAGCTTATTAGCAGAGTTTTAATAAAGTTATTTCATCATTTGCTCTGGATGTGTATGACATAAGTTAAATATAAAGTTCCAGGCAGGGGTGGATTTAGGAAATTTGGGGCCCTAGGCAAAGACAGGCATCGGTCCCTATGAATTGAGCAGACAACAGATAATACAGGCCCATTGTACAGATACAAAAATTTGTATAGAATAGACATTCCTTTTTTGACAGCAGACAACACAGAGGAGAGCAGGAGGCGGGGTCTCCAATCTACTTGCTCTGGAGGGTAGAGTTTGGTGCTTTTATATGTTGTCGCCAAAGTCTCCAGTAGGAGAAAAAAGTTGCTAGATTCTTTTGTGGAAAAAAAGCACTAGAGCGATCTGAAATGTCCCTAAATGTGGCAACAAAGTGCTAATTTGGGGCACCCCTAGACATAATATCATAAGCATTCTGAGGGCAATGAAAGTATGTGCACAAATAAGTAATAGTTGTATTAGCCACACATAAAAAAATAAGTTTTATGGGGCCCTCAGGAACTTGCCTAGTTTTAACCCTTAGAAAAACAGTAGTATATTTGAAGTAAATTCTATTAAGAATACTTAAGTGTACTTAAAGTATTACTAAATAATACTTCTTCGAACTAAATTGGGACATTGTTAAGTTTACTAAAGTATAGTTTAGTAAACAATAAAGTAAACAATAGTACACTCCTGATCAAAATCTTAAGACCAGTCAAAAAATTGCAAGGATGTGCATTTTGCACTATTGGATCTAAAGAAGGTTCTAAGTAGAGCTTCACAATGTTAAAAGAAGAAATCAGCATAAGAGACAAAAACTTTTGAGTGGGGAATTAATTAAAAACTGCATTTACACTCAAACATGATTTTTTTTCAGCTGATCAAAAGTTTAAGACCATAGCTAAAAAAAAAAAAAAAAACCCCAAAACAGAAATCAAAGTGTCATGCCAGTAACGTTGGAAGCCATCAGGACCATCAAGGTTACATTTTCTCTTATCAGAGAAGAAAACTTTCTTCAACCTTTCAATGTCCCATGTTTGGTGCACCCTTGCAAAGTCCAAATGGGCAATTTTGTGGCGTTGAAGAAGCCGTGGCGTTTTAAGACGTTTTTTGTTTCTGAAGCCCTTCTCTCGCAGATGACGTCTGATGGTTATTGGGCTGCAGTCAGCACCAGTAATGTCTTAATTTGGGTAGAGGATCATCCTGTGTCTTGACGGATAGCCAATCGGATCCTACGGCTCAGAGCTGGTGAAATTTTTTTGGGTCTACCACTTGACTTTTTTGTTCCATAACCCTCAGGATCATTTAAAAAATGCAAAATGACTGTCTTACTGCGTCCTACCTCTGCAGCGATCGCACGTTGTAAGAGTCTTGACAGTGTAAAGACTTGACAGAAAATGACATGGAATCCAGATTTTTGCACAGCTTTTGGTTTTTAAAGACTATGTCTTAAACTTTTGATCAGCTGAAAAAAAATCATGTTTGAGTGTGATTTTAAGTATGAAATTAGTGAACTTTTAGTATACTTGAATAAACTACTTTTTGCTAAGGGCATAATTTACCGCAGTGTTTCTGTTGTAAAGTAATTGTTAATATATGAAAAATTTTAATGTTTAATAAGTTTTAACATTCCCTTTCAGAGTATTACTGCTGCCCCTATCTGTATTAGGGTTGAAAAAATGGTTGGGGTGGCCACAGGGGTGGCCAATTATTGGCTAAGGGTGGCCAGTGTCCCTCCTGGTCCTCCTTCTAGCTCCGCCACTGGACTCTCGTGGAATTGACTTTTAGACCATTAGCGTAAGGAGTTTTTATGGTTCCAGGGAGTGGTATGTCCCTGCAAGTCTTTGCACATTAGGCCCCAGCGCAGTTTCGGTCAGAAGCAGGGGAGGAGATCAGCGTGAAAGGGCGGATCCTGCGGAGAGGAGCACTGGGGGTGGATGGTCGTTTGGTGCATGGCGCGTGTTTTGAAGCTGCTTATGGAGAAATGTCTTGGGCCGTGAGTAGTGAGGAAACAGGAAGCGATTCTTGTGGGATGGAAGAGGGAAATAGTGACAATGAAGGGTGGAAGATAGCAACATCAAAAAATGAGAAAAAGCGGAAAAAACAGAGATCAGTTCAAGGGAATCTAGTTCAGAACAATCAGTGATGATCATTCCATACATTCCACAGCACAACAAATGAATCAAGTATATTCAAAGTCGTAATCAGGCAGACTTTTTACAATGAATCGGTCATAACAACAAACCACAATAACTTGTCGGGAATCAGAGGTGCCGAATTTGTACATTTGGGACCTGTAATTACTGCAAAAGACGCGCCAGCATAGGAAACAAAGGATACTAAATTATTGGGAAAAAGACTCATGAGCCATCATGAGAAATAGTCCCTAAAGTAGCAGGGCAAGTGCAATTGAGGCATCCCTAGACATAATATCATAAGATTCGGGAGGCAATAAAGGTGGCAAAATAAAGAATAGGTTTAAAGCAACAATAAACAAGAATAAGTTATGGGCCATCTCAAATCTAGTGCCTAATTTTAACTTTAGAAAAAGTCAGTATACATTTGAAGTATTCATAGGTATACATAAGTACTTAAAGTATACAAATAACAACTCTCTCGAACTAAATTGGGCATTGTTATTTCAAATATGTTAGTAAAAATTAGTAACATAGCAGCAGATTTTAAGAGTAAAAAAGTTGCAAGGTGTGCATTGCACTATGGATCTAAAGAAGTTTAATAGGCTTACAATGTAAAAAAGAACTATATAAAGACAAAATTTGGTGGGGAATAATTAAACTGCATTTAACTCAACGGACTTTTCAGCGATCAAAATTAAGGCATAGCTAAAAATAAACCCAAAACAAAATCGAAATTTCGATGCCATAACTGTGGAAGCATCAGAACAAAGGTTACATTCTCTTATCAGAGAAACAAAACCTCACTTCAATTCCAGGGCACCGTGCAAATTCCAAATGCCATTATGTGGAATGAAAAAGTTGGTTTAAGACTTTTTTGTTTGAAGCCTCTAGAATTTGATGTTATTGGGCTCAGTAGAATAAGTTAATTTACATCTGTTCTTGACGAGCCAATCACCACGCCAGAGCAAATTTTTTCAATGACTTTTTTGTTCATAACCGGATAAAAAAATGCAAAATATGTCGAAGCTGCGTCTAAAACATCTCAGTCGACGTTTAAGATTTGACATGGTAATGCTTGCGAAAAGTAATGAATCAGATTTGGACGTTGGTTTGACATTCTTAGAACTTTGATAGTTAAATAATCTGTTTGAGTTGAATTTAAATTATGGACAATGTGAATTTTAGTATACTTGATAATATTTTGGGCTAATTACCGCAGTTTTTTTTGTTGTGTATTGTTATTATGATTTTATTTTTAATATTTTCATTTTTCGTTTATTGTTTGTTTAGGGGGGTTGGGGTGGGGGGTGGATTATTGAGGGGGCCAGCCTCGTTTTCTCTGTGCTTGTGATTGCTTTTAGCCATTCTAAGGTTTTTATGGTTCGGGGTGTATGTCCTGCAAGTTTGCACATTAGGCCCCGCGCAGTTTCGTCAGAAGAGGAGGAGAGGAGCACTGGGAGTGTTTGTCAGGATATGGGACGAGCGGAGGGGCGCAGCAGGGACTTTACAGGAACAAGCAACCGTGCCTTCACTCCTTCACCGCAAAAACTCCCTATCCCAGGTCATGCACTGAGTCCCAGACACAATCAGCTGGAACATGTACACCACGGAGCGCAGGCGGATGAGCCTGCGCGCAGCAAAGAGGAAGGATCCAGTGTGGGTGTCCGCTGGAAGTTTGTGGCAGGACTCCTCGGTGCTGGAGCTGACAGCCAGCAACGGCGGCTCGGGTAAACAGGTCGTCTCCCCGCGAAGCAGGACCAGGGCGGTATCCGTGGCTTACATCGTCAGCGAGGACGCGTCTGTGCCCCAAACAGAGGAGAACCTGTCACTGAAATGTCTGAAGGAAGCCTGCGCGGACGCTCACGCCTCCTTAAAAACCATTTCATTCGATAAAATATCAGTGGGAACCACAGACATCCTGGATAGTTTCTATAATGCAGGCAAGTGCAGGCATGCTGGGGGATATATTATTATGCTGAGGAGTTAAACTCACCCTCCATGTTAAATCTCCCTGCAGATGTAGCAGTGGTGGAGATGAGCGACTCTTTCTGCCAGCCGTCTCTTTTCTATCATCTGGGAGTGAGAGAGAGCTTCAGCATGACTAATAACATCATCCTGTATTGTTATAAGCAGGAAAGCGATCTACAGGCTCTCAAGGTAAAACTTGTCTTTGTTAATTGATCCAAGTAAAAGTTTAACTTGTGCTGCAGTTTTGGTGGATTACAAAACTGCTGGCTGTTAGTCAAGAAAAGCAAACAATGCACGGAGAGGAGTACACTTTGATTAGGTTATAATGAATGTGGGAGTAGGTAAGTACAGGGGCGGAGCTAGATGGGGGGCCAGGGGTGGCCATGGCCACCCTTAAGCCGGGCGTACACTGTGCGATTTTCGGGGTGATTTTCCAGTCGTCCGAGAATCTTTCGATCGGGCCGACTTTCAGCCTGGTGGTGCGTCGTGAGTGGTGTACAAGGGGTTACGAGCGGCAATCAGCCTCTCACAACCACCTCTCGATCAGGAATCGTGAGGTCAGGAGTCGTGGGCAAATCGCTTAGCGCACGTGTGCAAACAAGGATTCAGATGTAAACACAGCAGTGTGGCAGGGATGCAATAAGTTAAATACAGTTCTGTCTGTAAAATTGACAGACCGTAGCAGCCACGTTTGCTCAGCCATGTCTTTTTTTTTCCAAATACGTCCGCGCCTTTTCTTTTAAAGACTTTCAGCACAAAATTGCGCAAATTGCTAAGGCAGCGCATTTCACTCTAGTGAGTTTAATATCCCCCTTCTATTTGTTTGGCTTCAGGATGGAGAGCTATGTAGATATTAGTACTTGTAAATATCAATTTAATGCAGAATGATATTGATAAAAGTAATGTCGATGGTAATGACGATGGTAAAGATGTTTGCTCCAGAACTCAAACTTGAAAGAATTTTATCCAATATACCTTTTATCTAGACGGAAGTTTAAATATATGCATCTATTTGTTTGCAAAGGCTGTAGGAAACTATCATTTGACTTTATTTAGAGATGTGGACGTTGTGCTTGTTCCTGTTGGAACAGTGTAGATTGACCCTGAGATTCTGGTGCCCATCCACTTTTGGCCATCCCCTCAGTGTACATTGGTTAGTGCCTGGCCACCCTTATAAGAATTTTCTGGCTACACCTCTGGGTAAGTACACACAGTGAGCTTTGTTTAAAAAAAAAAGAAAAACTAATTGTCTTGGTCAAGCTTGGTTCTGATTTCTGAAGGGTTTAAATGCAGTTAAGTTCGTTATGGCTTTCATGGGCAGTTTTAGACAGGGGCCAACAAGGGCCAATGTCCCTGTAGAACAGGTCCTGGCTCCTCTTATAGCTTTTGTAAAGGAAAGCTCTATGTTTACGTCTTTAAGCTTTGATTCTTTCCAGAGAACAAACACTTTAAATATCTCTTCATAATGTAGAGCGGAGGTCTTCAACAGGGGTCCTCAAGGGGGTCCAAGGAGGTACTGCATGGGGGTCGCGAGAGTTTTGGTTGATTAGACTTTTTTTTATATTCCCCCCTGCAATTTTTTACCACTAATTGAAATGTATTTAAATACACATTAACATGAATTCAACACACTCTAGTAAACAGATAAATGGAGGTCTTTCAATCATCAATGATCACATTCAGTGACACACAGGAGCTCTTTCAAGCTGGGCACCATTTCATTCACAACACCTGTCCCATCAACCAGGAATCAGAATCAGAAATACTTTAATAATCCCAGGTCGATTTTTTTTTGTTAAATTACTCCATATGTAATAGAGTGACTATAGCACCAGTTTGATATAACACAATTTCATACAATAGATATAACTAGAGGGTCCCCGCTCCATCTCACCATCAGTTTAGGGGTCCTTGGCCTGGAAAACGTTGAAGACCCCTGATGTAGAGTATATGTATTAAATAAGTATGAGACATAACAGGAGTTTTGGCCATTTGTAACCTGAGAAATGGCAGTGCTTACCGGGCTCATTTTTTCAGAAAGTCGGCCCAGAAATACAGTTAATGAAGCATTTTATAAATCTCCAGGATCTCCCCCTTGCACATCCTCACATCTTGCATCATTACATTATACGTATTTGCAAGACATCATTGGCTCCAGCCATATTAGGTAACTAGATCAAGGACATTCTGAATGCACAGTGACAGAGAGCTTAATGTGAGGAATTATCCACTCTGTCTCTGCTCCTATATCATTCCCTAATCTTTGTTATGTACATAATGAAGATGATACATTTTTATCCTGACATAACTGTAAGTGGAATGTAAGGAAAATATTAGCCTTAACACATTACAGGCAGTTATTATTAGGGTTTAAAAAGTACATACATTAATGATATAAACTAATTCTAACAACTAAAAACAGACACTGACAATTAAGTTTATTTTCCCTTGATTTGAGGATGTAAGTAAGGCAATTTGCCAATGGAATAAGATGATTTATGTTTAAAATAAGGCTGCAACTAATGATTTTTTTTGCATATCGGTTAATCTGTCGGTTATTTTTTTCGCTTGATAATTTTCACGAAATGAAACCATGTAACTAAAACTATTTCACGTGAGGAGTTCTGAATAGAGCTTATTAACAGACGAAAACATTTTCTTAATCTTAAATGCAAAATGTTAATATATTTTTTTTTTACAATTTTGGTATAATTACTGGTCTAAGTGGAGCACTCTATCAGCTAAAGGCCTGTTTCAGAGTCTCTATACTCCAGATAATGATTAATCAACCACTAAATGAGTTGACGATTATTTCAATTTCAATCGTTTCAATCCTAGTTTAAAATAAGAAAAAAAGAACAGTATCTTATTTCAAGTGCATCATATCTAATTATTTTATTTTAAGGGGAATAAAAAAAAACATTAATTACATTACATGCTCATTTTATTTAACCACTCAAATTAAAGGTAAATGGACTGATTTTAAGACATTTTTACTTATTTAAATAATTTTATGCAGTTTAATAAGAAATAGATTTCTTCAAAGAGACTATAACTAATCAGTTTCTTGGACCTTTCAGTATTTCACCTTTCCAATTTTAACAATTATTAAGAAATAACATTCAACCTTAAGCTCCAGCTGTATTGAGATAGGACCACAGTTATTGTTTGTTAGATCAGGGAAATCCAACCAAGGCTTTGTTGCTTACTTAATATACTAAATTATGCACTCTTGCCCTCATGTGTAGTTTATACACATGATACTAGTTATAGTGCGTTAACCACTTTCTGTCAATGGAGTACTGTGATACATGGTCATTAAAGAAGGTGTTGGTAGTATGTCCATTGTGAGCAGATGCCAAGTCCTGATGAAAAGTAAAACCAGTCTGTTGGTTTTACTTCTGCATTATTTTCCCTCCAACAAACTCCATTACAATGCTTGGACCCATTGTGAACAGTCATGTCATAAAGGACTATTTTAAAGATGGTCTAATATGTCAGACCATATAGAAAAAATACACATGTGAAAATACATTCAATTAAAAAAATGTTTTGTGTTTGGATGAAATTGTTAAATAAACTTTTTAGCAGCGTAACCTTGTAGCCTATTTGGTTGTTTAGTTTAACAGCATCCTAAAAATCTTTTAAAGGCTTCCATCTACTGTCTGTATTTGACTCTAATCTAAAGCCCATCAGGCATGCACAGATACAAAATAGTTACTGAAACCCATGAAAGTTTTCTCAGTGCTTACTGTTGCTTGAATTGTTTGTTTAGGAGCAGTGTGGGTGTTACACCTTCATCCCGTACGTGGTGTCACCTCAGGGCAAAGTGTTTGCCTGTGACGCCACCATGATGACCTGCATGAAAGAGCTGATTCAGCCTAGTTTACAGCTGGAGCCCCTTCTCACCCCGCTGGTGGAGAGATTGGTACACCTGCTGAACAACGTGCACATTCAGTCCAGGTCAGTCAAGCACTTCAGGGCTCCAACCACCCAATTCATAAAGTCTTGTATGTGGCTTTCCTGTTAAATCCCAAACTTTCCCAACTTTCAGTTTCACCTTGTTGTTTTAATTAAGAACTGTAAAATATCGGAATGGTCTCTTTGTTTTTTTTGCTGACAGCGAGTACTTCAGGGAGTCTCTGAGGCAAGAGATCCGGATGGCACGGGAGCGATTTAGTGGGAAAGCCCTGAGCGAGGAGCTGAACCACATCCAGAGTCGCCTGGATAGCGTAGATCTGCTCACGCCTGATATAGTCATGAACCTGCTGTTGTCCTACCGAGATGTTCAGGTGATCACTTCATGAGTTTTGTCTCATCTGAAAGAAATGTAATATTTAGAGTTTGTTTAATTCAATTTATCAAATCAATTTATCTGTCCATAATTTTTTTATTTATTTATCGATTCTTAATCGGATAGCAAAAGGTTCCATAAAGAACACTTTTTATGAAATAAAAAAAAAATTCCATTTGAGGAGTTCTGGATAAAGCTTATTGACAGACGAAAATGTTTTTATATCTTAAATTCAAAATGTTTATATATTTTTGTGAGTTCTCTGTCAGCTAAAGGTATGTTTTAGAGTCTCTAAACCCCAGTTAACAATTAATCAATTAATGAATTACTATTAATTAAATAATCGATTAATCACGATAAATCTTATTGTTTCAGCCGTATTTCCAATAAACCTGAGCAGGGTCACAAATTTATTGTAAAAGGCTTTATGAATACTTTTAATGATTAAACTTATCATAAGCCATATCTGTCTAAAATCATAACAATGTGTAAAATTTCCTACAGTATGCTATCAAGACATTCACTTTTGTACCTACTCTGTTACTTCTCCCTAGGATTATGATGCCATGATCAAACTGGTTGAGACTCTCAACAATCTGCCTATGTGTCAGGCTGCAAGGCATCAGAATATAAAGTTTCATTATATATTTGCTCTAAACAGGTACCCACATCTTTGTGTAGTCTACTTAATTAATGATAAGTAATATCTACTCATGTTTCAGCCACAGGTTTTATTGTATGCTTAGTGTGGCTTTTGTTTCCTTTGTTGGCATTCAAACTTCTAAAGCAGTCAGTCAAAGATGCGGGCTGCAAAAATGATCCCATTTCCTGTTTTTAGGAGGAATCGCCCCGGCGATCGAGCAGAGGCTCTGAAATTAATCTTACCCATTGTGGAGTCTGGAGACAAAGTGGCATCAGATGTCTACTGCCTGTGTGGACGGATCTACAAAGACATGTTCATGAGCTCAGGCTTCACAGATGTGTCCAGCAGAGACCAGGCCTGCTACTGGTACGTCCACTTTATTTGTTTGTAGCTCTGGTCATACACTGCTGCTTTTTAGTATAATCAAAAAAGTGAACTTCATTTAATATGGAGATTTAATGCAACACAAATTGATATTTATTTAGTGAATATTGATGATTAAAGTCAATGAAAAAACAAAATAACTTTTCTCAGAAGAAAAGATTATTTTATTAGACTTAAAAGAGGACTTTTTAGATGGAGAAATGTAACATTCTGCTCAATCACAGATAGAACCGCTGACTTGATAGTTGTCCGTAGAACCTGTATGTTGAAATCACTGGAAAACTGAGTGGAAGGAAAACATGTCACAGAAAAAGGACAATAAGTAACTGGGGCACTTACAAACTCTCCTTAACACATAAATGCAGCCCCTTTTTTGATGACCAACGTGTCTTTCTTCATTTTACACTGCAGTTAGATGCAATTTATTAAATTATTTTTGATTCCCCCTATAATTAATACTTCAAGTTTCACTTATGAAAAGTTTTATTTTTTGTCGTTTGTTTTTCTCTAGGTATGGGAAAGCGTTTGAGGTAGAGCCAAGCCTCCACTCTGGAATCAACAGCGTGATCCTCCTGATGGCAGCTGGACATGAGTTTGAGACTTCTATTGAGCTGCGCAAAATAGGTGCAAAAATAATTGCCTGTTGTGTTGTTGCTTGTTTTTATTTTTGTTTTAATCCATATTTTTGGAACGGATTTTCAAAAAGTTTCCATATATAAAAGGAAACTGAATAGCGTGTGTAAAGCTGATCTTTATGCACATCAACCCATTTGCATAAAATAAGGGGTACAGCAGATGCAAACTTTTTGCTAATTTGCCTTCAAGACTGTTTACTGATTAACAACAGCAGAAGGGTTGTTAGATTATTTTCTGCTCAGTACTGCTCCACCATAACCTGTTTTTATCTCCCCCATTAGTCTCAAATGGCTTATAACTAAAGCAGAGATATGCAATGTTGCATATCTTGTTAGGATTCAAATTACAAATAAACAAATACTGAGAATACTAATTATATGTATTGATAAACAGTTCTCAGTAGTTTTCAGTAATTATTCTTTAGATTTTTTTTGTATTGTTTTTTTCTCATTTGGATCATTTAGTTGAAACCAAGGACAGAGTTCAAATAAAGTTTTTAGTTGACTACTTCAAATTATTAATAAATTATTATATTATTATAGTAAATGAAAACTATCAAATCATTGTAATTTGAGAGAAAAATAAAAGCAAAATCTAGGCTGCAGAATCTACAGTGCAAAAATATAACATTTATTTCTTTGAGTGCAGTTGTTTTCTGACTTTTTCAAAAATAAAAACAATGAACACAATAAATGTTATAAAAAAATTATGAATAATTTCCAAAATTCTGTGATGGACTGTCAGCCTGTCCAGAGTGTGCCCTGCCTTTTGCACATAGATTGCTGTAGATGTGCACCAGTCCCTGATGGATTAAGCGAGAGAAGATGGATGGACTTCTAAAATTCTTAAGATTTTACTGCGATAGTATAATTTTACACAGATACCAATCAACCTGCCCGCCTCTACTAAATAGAGGAGTTCAGAAGTTTAAGTTGTTGGCCGAGACTTTCTATTAGCCTTATTGTTTAGCAAAAATGTTTATGGTCATTGTGGCCTGAAAGTAGGGACTGATACAATGACAGAGGATGGAGAGAGAGGCTTTAGGATGAAGAAAATGTTTGCACTGTCAGAAATAATAATTCTAGGATAATATCAGTGGTGGAAATGACTGAGACATCTATCCATCCATTTTCTGACACGCTTAATCCCAAGTGGGGTCACGAGGGGTGCTGGTGCCTATCTCCAGCTGTCTATGGGTGAGAGGCAGGTACAGCCTGAACAGGTCGCCAGTCCATCGCAGGGCAACACCGAGACAAACAGGACAAACAACTATTCACGTGCACACTCACACTGAAGGGGAATTTAGAGAAGCCAATTAACCTAACAGTCATGTTTTTGGACTGTGGGAGGAAGCCGGAGTACCCGGAGAAAACCCACACATGTTCAGGGAGAACATGCACACTCCATGCAGAAAGACCCCAGGCTGGGACTCAAGCCCGCAACCTTCTTGCTGCAAGGCAGCAGTGCTACCGACTGCATGAGTGAGACAGATTAATGCATTTTATGCAATTACACCAAGAATAAAACACAGTGACCATGCATAAATATTTCACGCTCTGTACATCTTTACAGACTTTGTGCAAAGCGATAATGTTGTATTACTTATTATGGGCCTAACTTAGTTTTTAATATTTTGGGTTATGCAGGCATTGTGAGGAGGTGGTGAAGATAAATCCAGCTGTTTAGAGATTAATCTAGCTGCAAATCTGATTGTAGCGTCAGAGAGGAGCTGACAGTCAGCTTTGCCATGTTTTTAATTGATATTTATTCATTTTAATTTAACTTTAACTTTTTCTTTTTAGTTTTTTTTTTGTTTTGCTTGAAGCATATTGAGACTCTTATGCAAAATACACCCTGAATAGCAGTCATCATAATTATTTTTGTATAATGATAATCGTTATTGTCTGCCATCTTCATTGCTTTGAATTCCTCCTGTCATTTATGGCCACTCCCAACTGCCAGTAGAACATGCAGTTCCCTCATCTAAATAGAATGGACCAAGTTGGTTTGGCACTTCTTCACTACTTCCGTCTGCACGCTGTGTTTTTGGATAACCGGCACCATGTCCACTTATTATACATGTAACTTTAATGCTCCTTACTTGGAAGCCTTGATGATCAGGTCTTCATTGTAACAAACTATTCTTTACATGAGAAAAAAAATGGTATGATATAAACAATGTGTGTATCTATTGTTTTACTTAAAATTGCATCAAATTCTTTTTGCAAGCAAAGAAAGAAATCAGAGGGGATTTTGTGATGCATTTTTTGTAGCTATGCATAAGCGTCAGATATCATATTGATATCATGTTAATATTCTGGTAATGTGCTGTGTTTTGTATTATTTAGGTGTTACCATAAGCACCCTGCTCGGCAGAAAGGGCAGTTTGGAGAAGATGACGGAATACTGGGATGTAGGTTTCTACCTTGGAGCAAATATTCTTGCTAAAGAGTTCAGGAAAGTCATAGAAGCTTCTGAGAAGCTCTACAGACTAAAGGCTCCTGTTTGGTAAGAAGCATAAGCTGTTTTTGATATATTTTTTAAGTGCTTGGAAAGCCTTTCAGTTGTAACTCCATGTGGACTTATCAATGTTGCATGTTTCTCTCAGGTATCTGGCATCCATTATGGAAACATACATCCTGTATCGCCAGTTTGCCAAGCCCCCTGAGGTGCGGTCTCCCAAACAAGATACAGTTGACTTCTGGATGGAGCTGCTTTTGCAATCCTGCAAACCCACCATCTCGACAAATCGCTGCCCTGTAAGAGAATACAAGCAGCAGCTTTACACTTGTTGTGGCATTCTTGGCAAAGATGTTTAAAAAGCGTTGAAATAAATGTAACTTGTGTAACAGAAAAAAAATCTAAAAAAAAAAATAGTAAAATTTGGCCAAATGAAATTTTATTTTAAATGTTCTTTTTATAGGAATTATGAAAAGCACATTGAGAACTCCTTCTCCGCTTGTAGAGAGACTAGATGAGACTAGAGACTGATTCCGCTCTCCACGGGTCACTATGAAAGACATGGTCAAATGCCTTCTTCAGATCCACAAAACAGATTTGGACCAGCTGGGCAAACTCCCAAGCACCCTTGAACATCCTTCAGAGAGTATAGAGCTGATGCAGTGTTCCATGGCTCGGACAAAAACCACACTGCTCCTGAAGCTGAGGTTCAATAGTCAGCCAGGCTCTCCTCTCCAGCACCCTGGCATAGGCATTTGTGGGGAGGCCAAGAAGTGTGATTGCATTATAATTTGAACACAACTATGGTTCCCCTTCTTATTCAGGGAAACCACCACTCCAGTCTGCCATAGCCACTGTCCCTGACCTCCATGCCACTGTCCCTGACCTCTAATAACATTCAAAGACCTAAAGCTGGACATACTCTGTACAATATTATCAATCATTGTACTCAGCTACAGCTCAACAGCTAAGTTGACAGCTCATGCTGTATGTTCTTACACTGTACACCCTGACGCTCTGATGCGATCTAACTGCTCACACTGTACATCCAAAGGCCACATGTCGGGCTCTGTGTCAAGAGATGGCTCTGGTCGGACTCGTCAATCTGGAAGACAAAGAACTCCCTTGTTTGAACATGAGCACTGTGCAAGGTTCTGCTAAATCGGCTCGTAGAGAGTCAGCTCTGCTTCAACAGCAGGATTTGTCCAAGAACCCCTCACTAGGGTTGACTGAATTTCCAACATGGTTGATTTTGTCCCAACCTTATGATTCCTGATGTGGAGGTAGCCGTGAGAGACTGATTTCCCCTCATTACCCCCTGTATACTACATGACACAAGATGTACGCTCTATATTTCTTGTCACATTAAGGGCTTGAACTGCCCTCACCCAGAGCTTGTTTGCTTTGGGAGACCCTACCAGGGGCATTTAAGCCTCTGACAACATAATCTCTCGGCACTGAAATCCCTACACCATGTTAAGGTGGTGGTTTTCATTTACTGTCAGAGTGCAAATATAGGATATAAGTAGTTATCATGAAGTTAGAGCATGAAGTGAAGTTTACAGTAAAGCCACTGCCAAAAACGAGACTGCAGCAAAGTTTTAATGCAGTAAACTGATTTTGTCATTAAGTCAAGGTCTGCTGAACCAATAATAGCCATTGGATTTCTGTCACAGGTGCTCATTCTGGAGCCCAGTAAAGTCTTCCAGCCGTCTATTGTGAGCGTGAGCGAAGAGGACGAGAGTCGCACTGTTCAGCTAAAACATGTCACTCCTTTGAAGGTTTGGGCTCTCACATATCTTTCTGTTTGTTTATACATCAACAAACTAGGTATTATATCCAGTGCTGTCTTACTAAAGAAATAGCTTTGCTCATTGATGTTGAAGTGAATGTTTAACTAGTGCAGTGCATTATAATATGCTTGTAGAGTAAGTTTATTATAGTAATTAGGACTTGTCACCTGCTAAGTATTGACTGGTCTCTATTCCTGTTCTTCTATTTGTGGACTCATGCAAATTAAAACAGTTTTAACAGGTAGTTTAACCAACAAGTTGATTCTTTTTTAATATCTTATTTTCTTTTTTGTGGTTGATTCTGCAGAAAGGCCTACATCAGTGGACTTTCCCAGCTAATGCAATCCGAGGAGTGAGGTAAGGAGAAGAGCAGCATGTGCAAACACCTTTCAGCTGGATGTGTTGTAGCTAGGGGGACCCATAACATGTGGGTTGTCTGGGCAACCTTGGCTTGCCCTCAAATTTCTGTTCGGTCAGCATGGCTTCACTTCAGGCTTGACTTCTCTCCACTTTATTTGTTGATATCCATTGTGGCTACTGATCTGTGTCACTGTGCACTTAAGCATTATCTAATGTGGTAATTTAGGCCATTTAGAGCCAACAATAATAAAGCAGCAAGCTGTTGGACTGTTAATGATGTCATTAGATTCCAGTGTTATGTCGGGAGATTTCTACTGAAGCCTAACATGACCACACCCATCTCTTATCCTTTACCGTGCTGGAGAACCTTTAACATTCAAACAATAGCTGTTGTTCCAAATAGGAAATAAATGATTTACAAATAAGTTGAATTTTTTTGTATCCGTTTTCCCTAAAGTGCGTCAAAGATCGATGAGAGGAGCTGCTTCCTGTACGTTCACTATAATTCTGATGACTTCCAGCTTTGCTTCCCGTCAGAGATCCACTGTAAGGGGTGAGTAACTTGTATATTTGCACCAAAGAGTGACCTATTTACTGCCAAACTGTACAAACTGGCTGTGCCAAAAAAGAGATAATTTAAGCATATTTTTCCCGTGTTTTTTTAATTGCATACACCTTTTTTAGTGTAGCACCACAGCTTAAGTTTAGTTTGGGATATAATTTTTCTAACTTCTTGAGATATTTTCATTAAAGGCTGTATTTACTAGTTCTCCTGTTACCTGGAAATGTTTACAACTGAACTTCATCTGTCTGTAGGTTTTTATGCATCATGTTTTTTCCCCCAAACTGTTTACATTTGATCACTGCTGCATTTTATGGAATGTAAATGTTTATTTACTGTCTGGAAAGCTGTACTAAACTAAATTTTGTTTTGTATAACCTCAGTGTATACAAAATTACAATAAAAGTTGTCTAAGTTCTAGCAAAACATGAAGACCATGAAGAAAATATCTTGTTTTGGTTCCAGAACTGTGCTTTCTGGGCCTCCCTTTGGTTTACATAAAGTTTCCATGACCTCCAAATTGCTATCTGCTTTGAATCGCATAACTGTTTTTGTTTTTTAACTTTTCGATTTACTATTTCAATTCAACATTGGTTATCGATACATTTAAAATGGAATAACTCTCTAAATGGGTCATTTATTCCATTCATTTTTACCAGCCTTTTTTACTCTGACCCAACCTTTGATTGGACCATTCCTTCAAAAGCACTCCATTCCTGCCCTAGCTCTGTTATTGTTGCCCTGCTGAAAGGGAGGGGGGTGTGGGGGATTCTTTAGCCTCATCTAACTGGTTTTATTCCAATGCTGGCCTGCATTTGGAAAGCACTTTGGGGTGTTTTGACTCAAAGTGCTGCAGGACCTTTACCATATTAAGCCCATTTTCATTCCTTTCACCTTACCTGGCTTATTTAACTTTCCCAGGGCTTTAATAACATTAGTTCCTTGTCTGAGGTGGGATTTCTCAAGGACTGTCAGAGGGAATGTAACAACGCTGATTTTTTTATAGGTCTGAATGATTTCAGAGCAGTAGAAGGCACAGACATCCCCTAAAATCTCGTTCCCCAGGTTTGACATATCCTTGCCCTTTAAATCCTGGGGCTTTCAGTGGATAATGAGCAATTGATATTGTTGTTTTTTGTTGTTTCTTTGTTGCTGTTTTTTACAATACAGTGTTAAACCTCCCTAAAACTTTCTACCAGCTTTGTCTCTGATTCTTCATGATGCTAATGCTCACTCACTAATGTTCTCTAATAAATCTCTGAGGTCGTCACAAAACAGGTGGATATATTATGAGATTAAATACACACAGATAGACTTAGATTTCTAAATGCAATTATTAGAGTATCAGATTAAAGGAAACTAAATGCAAATACAGACCAGTTCTTAAAACCACTTGTTCCTTTTTTCCCGTCACATTTAACCCCAATAAGAACCACAGAGTTAGACTTAGACTGGTTTATTTTGTCATTTTGTATACACGAATGTAAACAAAAAGAAATTTCATTTAAAAAATGAAATTGTCTAAAGCTATTTTAAAGTGCAGCCTTGAAAAACATTAATAAATGCATAAAAAAATAGTAATATAAATATATGACTGTACATTTACAGTTCTGACATTGTGTGGTTTAAAAATGAAAATAATCAAATATATAGATCTATAGTCAAGTGTTTACTTGTTATAAGTAACATTTTTTTTAACCAGTACCTTTTTTTATTATTATTAAACTGAGTGAGTCCTGGTTCTGACAGAAAGCTACAACAAACATCCATGACTACATGACGTCACCGAGTAGTTACACATTTTTCACACCACATCTTTAATAGATATTCAACTTTACGAGAAATCTTGATTTATTCAAACCAAGTATTTGCAATATGTTATATTTTGATTTTGAAGAAAAGAAGTTAACTGTAAATGTCTTCTGACGTTAGAAGTCACTGGAATCATGTTCGAGTTATTAGACTTCTTGACTCAGATCATTTTTTAAAAACTGGTGGCCTTTTTTAAGTAAAAACTGATAGAATTATATATCATGAAGTGATATTAATTGTGTTTTCTGTCAATGTTTTCTAGTTTCTGCGAGTTGGTGAACTCTCTACTTCACCAGGCTGAAAACCTTACTCAGGACCCCCAACTTCTAACTCAGGGAATACTTGAGGTCAGTCTCAGTGTGTATTTCTTTCCTCTGACGTAACATGCTTTTTATTTTAGATCTGTCCAGGCTGTGAATCAAGAAAAGCAGCAGCGTTTTCCTGGAATTGCATTCCCAAGCACAGTGTGACTTTTCCAACCCTGCTTTTTGTGCGCTATAGTTAAAACAGAAGTTTAATTCAGAACTGCCCCTCTCATTATCTTCCTGTGAAATTCCCCACGTTTCTGTTTTTATTTCCAGTTATTGATGCCGTCTGTTTCACATTTCAGTTCGTCTATGAGACCAATGAGAATGGAGACAGGGTTGTTCTTGGGAAGGGGACGTATGGTGTGGTGTACGCTGGTAGAGACCTCAGCAACCAGGTCCGCATCGCCATTAAAGAGATTCCTGAAAAAGACAGCACGTAAGAGATTTAATCTCTTCTGTTTTTGTTAGACATATTTTTTTTAAAGAAGTTTTTCTTTTTACTTGCATACTTACTTTAGAGTCACATTACCAGGTGTTAAAAAAAATGCATAGTTTGTTGTGATTAAAGGATTTGAATGAATTAAAAAACAATCTTTGGAGTATTTAGAATATTTGTTGTAAATATCTGTGCTTCTAATGGCTCTATTTGAGTATAATCCTTGATTTCATGACTAAAACCCCAGTATCACATATGCTGCTAAACTTGTGTTACTCAGGTACTCGCAGCCGCTCCACGAGGAAATAGCTCTACATAAAAGGCTGAAACACAGGAATATTGTCCAGTATCTTGGCTCCATCAGTCAGGATGGATTCATCAAGATCTTCATGGAAGAAGTACCAGGAGGTAGAAGCTTACATTTAAAACTCATACAGCATCCTCTGTACCTATTCACATTCACCCTTCTTAAAATAAATCTGCTTATTACTCCAGTGTTAATACATGAGTGAATCTTTACAGATCAAACCCTTTTTTTTAACCAAAGTATGTTAAGACTTAATCAAAATAAATATTTTTTCCAATCTACTTGATTCGATAGGGGAGCACTTAGTCTTGTATTGTGTTAGATCACATAAAAACGTTCATCCTTACTTTTATCCGACCAAAGCAAATGTTTGAGGTATAGATCGAGGTGGTGTACCAAACTCTGCATTAGTCGTTTTGATGTTAGGACAGAGGAGGCTTTGTCCTGGCATGCTGACAACCAGTTGGAATGTGGATAGATGCAATTGTTGTTTTCTAGACCCCAATTAATTTGTTATAAGTGGGCTCTTTTTTCCACTCCAGCATCCCCACTCTGTAACTTGTTTTAATAGCATTTTTAGCTGCTCTAAATCGAAATTTAAGCAAGTTTAAACAGTTTCCTTACAGCTACTGCCAACCTATAGTGATCACCACATTTCAAACCAATTTTGAACGGCATGTTTTTCAAGGGATTCTAGGAGAAGTGAGCTTTTTTTTTCTTTCTACAATAAAAAGAAATTATGTGTGAGTATTTGTTATTAGATACCCTTTTATTGTAGCTGTTATAAGTGGAATCTATTAATATGACGAGGTTGCAACTTATATAAGTATGCAAGCCAGGAGAACAAAATGGTCCAGAGTGCTGAAGAAACAGAACTTTGGTACAAAATATTCAGTACTAGGCCAGAATCTAAAGCCCGACTGGAATTTAGTAGATTGGATATCTAATATATATCTAATCTATAATATATAATAATCTATGTTTATACATTTTTTCTTTCGTTTTTTTTTATATTTTCATAGGTTTCGAATTTCTAAAATGACGCAAATCCAGTAAGTGTTCTGTAGCAGACAGTAACGTTCTGTTATTATGGGAAAATATGTCATCTGGAGGAGCAGAGACTTGCCTGGTTGGAATTTCCAGAACATGCAGAGCCAAGTGCTGCTTCCAAGTCTGACCTCTTTTTTTTTTCAATGTAATTTTTTTTTGATGGATTGCTGCTCTTCAAGGGCTTAATGTTCTCAAAAGAACAAATGCTCACGTGACGATCTAACATTAACAGGAAACCGGTTCTAAAGCTTTAGTTCTAAAAATATCTCGTTTAAGAAAACATTTTCAGACAGTGATGTAATTGTATTTAAGGACAAACAACTCTAAGAACAAGTAAGCTATTTAGATTTTCATAGAAGCAGTCTAATAAATGACATTCTAAACCTTTAAAGCTTCTGCATTAGACCGAAATGTGACCATTCTAATATATTTCACTTTATCAGGAAGTCTGTCGTCTCTGCTGCGATCTAAATGGGGCCCTTTGAAGGACAACGAAGCCACCATCATCTTCTACACCAAGCAGATCCTCGAGGGACTAAAGTATCTCCATGACAACCAGATTGTCCACAGAGACATTAAGGTGATTAGTGCTTCCCTTTAACATACTTTCTGACGTCATGTAGCCTGTAAATACAGGGCTGAAGTTCTGTATGAATAGTCCTGGATCTCCTGAAGTTAATTATAAATATCTATTTAAACCCCCGCTAACGCCGTAAAATACAAAACATTTCCACGTTTCTTAGTAAAACAAGCTTATTTGTTTGAATATCTTCTTTACATCATATAAAAGTGGGGGCTGTTACGGGGGCTGCTTAAATTCACAAAGGTTTAAAGGTCAGTTTCTTTTCTATATGCTTTCAAAATGTGTAAAGCAATCAAGAATCTAAATATCTAAAATAAACAAGAGGTGACGGGGAGAGGAAACTTCACATTTCACACAGTGAATTCTTTTTGCACTTAATAACTAAAATCCACACCATCGTATTATCTGAAATAAGATTCAGGGCTAAAATAAACAAGAGACGATGGGGAGAGGAAGGACCTTGGAGAAGCTACATGGTTCAGTTGATCCTCAACCCTACATATATTAGGCCTTAATAACAAATAGCCTGCAGATAAAACTGAATAAAATGCATGAAGACGTGTATAAAACAGATTATAAATAAAAATGCGATGTCATTTTCTACATGAAATCTCAGTATGTATAACAATTATTCTATCAGTGGTTATAGTAGGATTTAAACATTTGGCAGTACAAGATAATCTGATTAGAATAAGAAATGAAGAAGAAACTGAGGAGGTGGACAAGAGGGGATTAGCTCACAATTGCATATTTTGATAGCGAATATGATCTGATTTAGTCAACAAGTGTAGTGTAGTTAAGACTTAAAGGGAACTCACCATACAATCAGCTTTTGTTTTGATGTGCAGAAAACAGTATAAGTAGGGCCTATGGGGTGCTATTTAAATGCTACTCTGCTTTTGCTTTTTTTTTATTAATTGCAATCATTGGTTAATTTTATCTAAAGCTGGTTTTAGAAAGTACAGCATCTCATTTTTTTATATGAAACTTACTTGAGGAAAAAAATTAAAATCGAATTTCCTTGGGGAAAATCAGAGATTGTTAGTTAGACCATATGACCCAGGTCTACAGGGCACTAAAACCAATTAGTGAGGGATTTAATTTAATCATACATGAAAGGAGAAGTGAGTAAATACTGCAGTCTTCAACCACTTGGAACATAAGGGAAAACATTGTGCTGTTTTAATTTTCTATATTATATGATTTCAGTCAATTCCAGTCAAATTTTCTGATTCATCATCCTTGCTCACTTCCCTGTTACCTACTGCTTTACAAATTTCAAAAGAGCTTCCGTTTTATAATTTATTCCTCAAAGACAAGCAACCAGACTGTGTGATTTGCTACCACTGCTGCAGCTGTCGTATAGCTTTAAATGCAGAACAACCAGATTCCACTATAGCTTCCTCCCACATGTTATAAAGGCTGTTAAACTTTCAGTAATCCACTCCTCCCACCTTACATGGGGAACTGGTCACTTCACATTTAGAAACTGTGAACTCTTTCTGCACTGAGTAACTTCTATCTGCACCACCATATGAGCTGTTCATCATTGCAACACATCCTGCTGCTACATGTGTTTCTATGTTTCTACTATTTCTGAACATGTAAAATGTTCAGAAATAGTAGAAACAGGGGGGGGGGTCTACATTGCTGACAATGCTCACAATATTTAAATTCTGTTTCTCTTGCTTTTATTTTTATAGTCTGTTTAAATTCTCTTTATTTGACACACACACTTTTTTATGTTTTTCTTTTCAGTTGCTATTCACTTGCTGTGAAATTTTGCTCAAATGTGCACTGTAAAGTCGTTGCGTTGTTCAAGAAAAAACATTTGAGACTCAGTCTAAAGTCTAGTTGATAATAATAAAAAAACAAGCCTAGAAAGACGCTTTGCCACCAGTGCAACATCGACTATATTACCGTATTTTCTGGAGTATAAGCCACTACTTTTTTCCCTGGCTTTATTATATGTGGCTTATAACAAGTTTCGGCTTTTCTGTGCATTTTTCCTAACCGCCAGAGGGGGAAGTCAGAGTTAGAAATTAAAGAATAAACTGGCTAATTTTCATTTTGCACAAGAACATGGTAGCAGCAGACACGACGGAGAACAAATGTCCCAAATTCACAAATTTTGCTATTTATTTGCCGCATTAAAACTGTGGAAACTATGAAAAGAGAATGGGCTGAAATAAAAGCCGACGAAGCCTGTCACTACCCGATCCCTGCCGGAAACCTGATTATTTTTTTAAAATCCGCATCAAGATATACATCTGAGTCGCCCTCGATTTTATTTTTGTTAAAAAGACCTAAATGACATTTTTCCCTCCCCCCAAATAGTAAACGTACTAAAATATAATATGTTAAAGCTTAATAATGTATTTCCTGTGAAAATAAAGGCCTTAAAATCAGAGGCGTAGATAAATTTCTTTCAGTTTTTAATTCTGGGGCGAGCATCTTTTCCACTGCATTACTTACCTACTTTTATCAATAATCATTCTGCATAAAATTGATATTTACAAGTATTAATATCTACATAAATTGATTATTTAATACGTTTTTATAAAAATAGTTATCTATGATTTCACTAAAGACTCCTAGATGAATGCAGAGACACAGAATTTTCTCTTTACCCGATAAAACACAAATTCTGCACTTACCATCTTTAATGTTAGTATATTAATGTGCATGATTACCACAGTGTTTTTGTTATCAAGTAATTATGCATATATGAAAAAATACTAAGTAATATATGAAAAATTTAAATGTTTGGAATATTCCAATTGATTATTAGGGGAAAAACAATGGTTGGTGTGGCCACAGGGATGGCCAATGATTGGCTAAGGGTGGCCATGGCCACCCCTGGCCCCCCATCTAGCTCCGCCCCTGCTTAAAATCCTTTCTGTTTTATCACTCGTCTCTGCCCGATCTGTACTGGAAATGGGATGGTAAGCTAACTTATCTAAGCTAAGATATCAGCGGCTTATATCCCGGTGCGGCTTATATATGTACGTTTCTAGTTCTTTCAAAAAATGTTTTGGGCGAAGCTTATAGTGAGATGCACACTGTAGTCTGGAAAATACGGTGCTTTGATAATGTATATAAAAACTTATGTCATATGAAACTTTCAATGTTTCAGGATCCTAACAACATCTCTGCCTTCTGGGGTTTTTCACCACGGCTTTTTTTTCTCAAATACGTTTTTGTTTCTGTGCTGCAGGGCGACAACGTTCTCATCAACACCTACAGCGGCGTGTTAAAGATCTCTGATTTTGGGACCTCCAAGCGGTTAGCAGGGATCAATCCCTGCACTGAAACATTTACGGGTAAGAATCAGATTGTTCCTGTGCTAAATTAAGCACAGGAACACATTCTTGTGTTTTTAGTTTTATGCTTATCCTGGTAGTTGGTTAAGAAGTCAGATTATTCACCCGCCTTTCTTTTAAAGGAACACTTCAGTACATGGCTCCAGAAATTATAGACCAGGGACCTCGAGGTTATGGGAAGCCTGCTGATATCTGGTCCCTGGGGTGCACTATCATAGAAATGGCAACAGGCAAGCCTCCCTTTCACGAGCTGGGAAGTCCTCAGGCAGCCATGTTTAAGGTAGGCAACAAACATGTTGAGATTTAATGACCATGGATGGTTTTCCCAGACCTAAAGAAATAATCAAATCTTCAGTTTTAGCGGATATTAAAAGATTTTCCAAATTATTGGTGAAAGCAGCAGCAGCTTTCTTACTCTCCTTACTGTAAACCCAGCAGTTTGATGCTTTTTCACTTTTCCCAGGCCAGCTGCTTTTCATCTTATGTTTACACTAAAAACTTCCCACATCAGCCCACCTCCCACGATATTTTTAGGTGGGACTTTTCCTTCAGAAGGACTTCAGTGGAGAAATGTTTCTCTGATGTTTCTTTGATAACAATCCAAACCTGTTCAGTCAATGTGAAAGGCCTTTCCTTTGCAGCATTTAATACAGTATTTTTTTTTTATTGTAGTGCACACAATGTTTAGTGTTTGACAAGTTTGGTTGCATTATGAAGATTCTGGAAATGTCTGCACTAATTATTGTAATAGCAACTTGAACATTGGTAGACACACTGTTTCAATCTACATGTTACAAATTATTATAATGTTAATGCAGCTAAGCTGTAGCACTCTTAAATTCTCAGGGCTTTTAAAAGAAAACTAAACAATCCAGACTGAGCATTCTATTACTGAATCTTGAAGTGAAGAAAAAGTCAAAGCTCCCAACAGAGGGAGCTATTTCAATATGTTTATCTGTTTTACAATACTTTACACTGCCTGAAAATGAAATTGTAATGTCCAGGTTCTGGTCTGAGCTCTGTCATGGCCAGTCAAATTTCTCTTGCATATGCAACCATTAGAACATCCCAACTCATTGTTGGGTGCGACTCAGTGGCTATGTAGTGCATCAATTTTCTTTCTTTCTTTCTTTTTTTGTTGTTGTTGTAATTTTCCTTTTTATTTCTCCCTTCTCTTTTACATTAAAAAAAAAGAAAAAAAAGCTGAACATCTAAAAATCTATATTTTTAAATGTGAGACCAAAGACCTTGAAAACATCATCCGAGAAGTGATAAGTGGTGGCAGTATCAGGTTGTGGCAATGCTTTTGTTAAGCTTATATCCCTTTAGAGCCTTTAAAATGTAGTGAAACACTTGATGCCGGGACAGAGGTTCACCCTTCAGCCCAATGACAACTAAATGAATATTTTGAGTTAAAGGTACACTATGCAACCGGTGTTGATTTTCCAGCGAGGCTCCCCCCAGAGGGCGAAAGTAAAAGTGCACTGTCGTAAATATGCACAGCTGTTCTCCTGGTTTCTCCGTCAAGCCAGGCGCGGTTGTTTTGAGCTTAGCAGACAGGCGAACGCAACGAATGACTAATGCTGCGTTCACACCGCAGCTGGCGCGACAGAAGCAGCGAGTTTACATGCAAAGTCAATGGTTGACGCGCGTCAAGGCGCAGCAAAAGGTTCTCGCGGCGCGTTTTGAGCAGCAGGCCCAGCGCGTCTGAGCAGCTGAAAGGCGCTTTTAATCATCTGACGCAGGGAGAGAGACACAGCGCTGATGATCAGAGGCTATGATCTCTCCTCTTAAAGAGTTTATTGACGCCTAAATTAACTTAAAATGCAGAAATCTGCCGGCAAAATATGCAGTTTGGATTATTTAGATGAAAAACACCTACCAGCTGCCGCGGTGAACCGCGAGGAGGTGACCCGGCCAGAGGCTGCTGATGAAGGGATCCCTTCCGTCGGCGCACCGCTGGTATGTGGGGGTCTGAGCGGCTCCGACAGAAAATATTGAAGGCAGGATAATAATCTGAATGAACTGACGGCACTGATTATGTTTTCAGGTGTATTTTCTCATTTAAACACATATTAAAACTACTTTATTCCAAATGATCACAGCAAATATAGCGGCAAGGCAGAGAAAGGATAGTGAAGCTCCGCCCAACGCGCGTCAGACACACTTTTGCACCGCGCACCAGAGCAGCAAAGCTGCTTCAGCCGCGCGTCAGAACTAACTGGTACAAGCAGCAAAAATGAAGCAGCAGACGCGATTTTGCTGCTTTTGCTGCGTGAACGTAGCATAACTGCACAAAGATCGCCACTGTGCTAGCAAAGAGCATGCTTTTAACTGGGGGGTGTAACCGTTCTCGCCATAAAGCAAGACCGACTCTCGTGAGACTTCTGAGCCTGTGGGTGTGGGTCGGTGCTCCTGCAATTGCAAGTGCAGTATTTCCCCCACAGACCACCAGGGCGGCCGAGAATACCTTTGTTCAACCTGAAATGAATCATTTAATCATCCAAAACGTTATGGAACACATTAATTAACTGAAAAATGTTGCATAGTGTGCCTTTAAGGCGGAATGATTTAGGTGTTAAAATGACTGAGTGAAAGTTCAGAACCAAATCCAATTAACAATTGGGGTACAACTTTAGGAATTTAGCAAAATGATGTTGCTGAAATGTATTCATTTAGTTCTTCAAAAAGCTTCAGAAAACTTTTAAAATGCAGTGAACGGTTGTCCCACATACTTTTCATTAGACCAACCTCTCTGTACTGTTCTTTCTTTATCTGATCTCATATTCTTACATTAACTGTTTTTTTTTAATTTATTGGTTATAAGTGGAAATTAATCTTAAAAGAAATAAAAGCTTTAAAACATCAGTCTGTGTGTAAGTAGCTGATATAGTGTGTTCAACTCAGCGAATTACTGGGAAAAAAACAATAAATAATAAATTTGCTATACTGTCAATTAAGCAATATAATCATATTTTAAAATAATGACCAGTTTATTTTCTACCAATTTCTCACTAATTACCAAAATGCATGTCTAAAGAAATCCATCAATCTTCTTCTGTGATAATTGCCTGCATTGACGCGTATTTAAAAAATCAGATAAAAATAAAACAGAGGAATTTTGTCTCTAAAGCCTTACTTCTGGTTTAATAAAGGTAGTGGTCGGCATATTTTATAGAATGCTGTAATCAAACACGTATTTATTTGTTTTAATAATATCAAAATGGCCAATAAATGATTTACTATCTTGTAAATTCATTGCATGCATCAGTTTTGAATATTTTGCAAAAGTGATTCATTCTGTGATTATCCCTACAAGGTGGGCATGTTTAAAATCCACCCGAAGGTTCCTGGGTGCATGTCAGATGAAGCCAAGGGCTTCATCATGAGCTGCTTTGTGCCAGACCCAGACGACAGAGCCACAGCGTCAGAGCTGCTGAACGACGCCTTTCTCAGGTCATCCTCCAAGAAAAGAACCAAACTCCCAAAGGAGCCAGACTTAAAAGAAACAGGTAACCTGATGGGAGGTCAACCCAGATGTTCCACAATGTTCATCTTCTGCTGTCTGAAATTGATTGCCCTGGAATTGTTCCTGTCGGGTTTTGCAGCTGATTACCAGCGGAGTTTATCTGTGCCCATCTCCATCTTCGTGGAGGACACAGATTCGGACACGAGTTCGATTGACTTGGCTTCTTCTTTGGACCTGAGAAAGCAGTGGTCATCCATCAGAGGGACGGAGATCTCAGAGAGCCCCCCCTGCTCAAGTGGCTTTCTGTCGTGAGTGAGATTTTTGCTTTGCATAGAGAAAAGAATAAAGCCGTAACCTTATTTCAGTGCATCGTAGCGAAGCACCGTTAAACCACGCTGAGGTTTCAACTTTATATTAAGGTCAAAGTTCTTTTTAATCAAAACCAATGGAAAGATTTTCATATAAATCCTACAACTGTGTCACGACTGAAAATAATCTATAACCCCCATTTTTTATTGTTACAGATTTTGTCACCTTTATCACCTCATCCTATGATTTTATTCTCTTCCAATTATTTTGTCTTTTTCCTACTGATTTATCCTTTATCCTGTTAAACAGAACACCATATGACTCTGCATCAGGAATGTGCAGCCCAGCCTCATCGGAGGAGAACATCGGGCTCTTTATGCTGCGAAAGGATAGTGAGAGACGAGCCACGCTCCACAGAGTCCTCACTGAGTACATCTGCCATGTCGTCACTAATATACAGGAGTCTATACCTCAGGTGTGTGGAGGAAAATCCCAACAGCAGCTCAAAATGTTAATAGTTGATATAAAAATTGTGCAAACCAACTTTAATATCACTTATGCCCTATACAACAAATATGTTTAAAAAATAATGAAATAGAAATAGTGGACCATAGTAATATGACTATGCACTTCCTAAAACTTATAAGTTCATTAGAATAACTTACCGTAAGTTAATCATAAAATTGTCCTCATTGTGGTTTTATATTATCTCCCACCTTAATTTGGCAGTATTTGCCTCCTCTGTTATGCACCAGTTCCTATAATTTATCAGATCTGTCCTTCATGGCTCTTTTGGTGACTTTTTCTGCCAAAAATATGTTTCTGAAAGGTCTGTTAATGTGTATATAAAACATTTGGCAGTGAGGTTCTGGAAGATTTTAGCTTTTTTTTTTTTTTAATAAAACCTCATTCATTAGTAAATTTGATGTTCCTTTCATTCAAAACACAGCCAGTACTAAGCAGAACTCTATCTATACCCAATACCTTCCTGGTCTAATTTTTATGATTTTATTTTATTTTATTTATGTTTTCATTCCCCTCTTGTATAATGTTTGTACTATCCTATGATATACAAAATGCTATGTTGTTTTTTTTCCCCTTCTCAACTGATTCCTTTGTTCATTCTAAACCGATCCTTTAAGCTAAAGCTTTAGCAAAAGGATACAAATGTCAGAAACGTCCTACTGCAACATCTGAAATATATTTCATTTTTGATTAGATGTACTTTAATTGATGGCCATTTTTAATACACCTGGACCAGATATTAAAAGTGGATCAAAATCTTCTTCATGAAACCGATGTTCATATTTACTTAACCATATAAGTTCACTTCTAAATGTGCAATTAGAAACAATGGAAATCAAGATATTTTTTTTCTTTCAAAGTGCGATGAAGGATCATCACTTCGAGAGGACCACATCGTCACCCTTATTAGCTGCCTGCGTGAAAACATCCGCTCCCCCGACAGAAAGCAGCTTGCTAGTGGCCTTCTGGAGCTTCGATCCAGTTTGTTAGCAGCAGCAATACCCCTGAACAGCCTGCAGGCAGTGCTCTTTAACTTCCAAGATGCAGTAAGCTACTTCTTCTGACTATATGTGCAACAGATGTTTATTGAAAACATATTTAAATTTTTTTTAACCATCTTGTTTAGGTGAAGAAGGTTTTGAAACAACAGCTTGTGAAACCTCACTGGATGTTTGCTCTGGACAATCTGCTGAGACAAGCTGTGCAGGATGCCATAACTGTCCTGCTGCCAGGTAGAGGACTGTTTTATAATACATATCCTTATATAACAGCGACTTATCTATTTGTAGTCCTGATAGGGATGTTTTCAAAATCATTGAAATGTGTTTCTTGTATCACTTCTATAAGTCATATAACTCATTCAATCACGCATGTTCAAGTATTTAAGCATGATTTTGGACTCAAATCTAACTTTGAAGGGCCATATAAAATAGGTTTGTCCTACATTTAAAATATTCAGTATCTAATATTAGGGCTACGCTAAATTCACTGAGTGCCAAAAGAGCCAAAATCTATATGAATTCAGTTACAATGTCTCGTTTGACTTTTGGTATGTCATGCTGGTCACAAGCAAACAAGACAATAAGGAATGAATCTATAAACAAGCAGTTAGAATCCCTGAAAGAAAACCACAAATATGTTGCCACTGCAAAAATACTTGGCAAACATAAAAAGCTGAATTTAGGAAACGGGATTAAATGTTCAGAATTTACGGCTGTTGTTCAAAATTATAAAAAAAAAATTGCCACATTGGTCATAACAAATGACCAGAACAACGAGGTTTACATGCCATTGTTGGTGTGGTATACCTAAAAGACCAATCAGCTTTATCCTTCAAAGCTTTAAGTGATTGGAAGAAACTCCCAACACAGTTCAAACCCCGTAAAGACTATAAAAAGTTTAGCATAGATTTCAGAAAACATTTAATACCTACTCAGATATGCCACCATTAATAAGTTGATGGAGACTGTAGGAAAAGGGAAAGGAGGGGGATAAATTAGCTCCAATCTGGTACAGTGCATCTTCTCAGAGTGTCACTGATTAATGCCAAATAAACTAAATAAATGTGCAAATATGCAGATTGGTAGCCCCTCATGGTTTACCTGGCTTATTGTAGTCTTTGTGGGAGAAGCAATCAACCACTTCCCAGTTCCACCTTTGTCTGAATTGCCATCCCCTGAAATTAAACTCTAAATGAGGAAACTGGTGGGTTAAAAATGTCCCGTTGACAATTATTTACATCCCTAAATAAATGCTGAACAAATGTAACTGATGCTTTTCATTTTTAAGGTAATCAGTGTGTAACTTATAAATCCAAGTCTATGACTTTGTCTTTTTCCTGGATTGTGAATATGATGTGATACAGAGGCCAGTTATTTTTAAACATCTCTCATAAATGTAAAAAAAAAAAAAAAACACTCATCTAATTATCTCTGCTACTGTCGATATTCTGTGAATTTTAAGGTACTTAAAAATGTTTTAGATTACCTTGATTATGTGAATTTAAAGCAAGAAATCAAATAACCACTTCTTTAAGTACTCAACACTATGAAGAGCTCACATAGAAAGAGCTTGAAGCTGTAATTTATTCTGCAAGCTTTGAAATAATCTGGAGAAGCATTTATGTTTTTGATGATTTTTACAACCAAATCTATAAGACACTTATAGCAGAGCTGTCATGTTGCTCACCTCCTCACCTAGTGTCTTACTACACTTTGGCTTGCCTGACAAAACCATGCACAGTGTCTTTAAGCTTAGGACACTGATGACATGGATGCTGTGAACTGATGAGTTTGCTTCTGCTTTCCTTAGAGCTGAAACTTCATCTGCAGTCCTCGTTTGAGATGGAGGACAGCATTCCTGAGGAGCAATCTGTTGACCCAGACACTCCTATAGTTCTCGACCCTGACCAGGCGGTGGCGCCAAGAGACACTCAGGAGGCGGAAAACGGGAATGAGAATGGGACCACAGAGAGTCCCAACTCCCTAAAAGCTGTCTTTATCGACAGCAACCGTCCTCTCAGCGAGAAATTGAAAGACCTGAGAGTGGAGACCAGGAGGTATTCTTTGGGATTAGGATAAATTCAATGGCAGCTATTTCTAAATTAATTCAAATGACTTGTTTTTTGTTTCTTGTTTAACACATTTTTTTTTCTCCAAAAAATACAGTGTGGTATGAATGTACATGAGTATTTTTACACTTTTAAACATAAAATACAAAACACAAACAACATAGTGATTTCAAGAGTATGAGAGGTACAGGTTCCAGACTTTGAGAGTTGGGAAAAAAAAAATCATTGCATTATTAGTGGTACGACAGGTTTCCAACGTTAAGTGAATATGGGTATTTGTAGTCTCAGAGAATATGTTATATCTGTTCCATTTGGTATATGTCCCAGACCTTCTGAATGCATATATTGTAGGAAGGGGGCTCAGGTTTGAGCCATCTCATTGTTATACATTTTAGAGCAGCTGTTAATAATATTTTCAAAAGATATTTTTAGATGACTTGTTTTTAACCTAATATTTGTAATATATTAAAACTATGTTTAGATGTTAACATGTGAAACACATTACAGACATTGCTGTTTGACATAGGAAATGCTTATGTTTTCCACTGAGTGCTGATCATTTTGTGTGATTTTTTATCTTTTTTTCCCAGACTGCTGAATGAGCTGAGTGAGAAGGAAGAAGAGTACCAGGGGCTCCTGAGAAACTCTGTGCTGAAAAAACAGGAGCAGATAGATGAGCTGAGGAAAATGTTCACCGATGATGGTAAAGCTGATATTAGCTCTTTAACCATTATTATTGTGTTCTAAATCTGTGGCTTAAACTGCATTTAACATTCACAAAATGGTATCAAATGAATTTTTAACATATATTCTCTAAGGGATGTGAAGCTCTGGGTTAGAGACAGTTTTGCTGCCTTACCTGGATAAGTTTCTCTTAGAATGAAAATTACTGTTGATTGATTAGCAGGTGCATATTTAGTCCAAGGCCCACCTAAAGACAGTATTCTGAATGGGATTTTTAAAACCTTTCAGTCCATAGAAGCTCATTTTTTAGAAGGAACCCCACTGTGTAAACAGTGACATCAGAGAACCAAGCCCTGGTGGCAATCATCATCATTTAACTCCTGCGGCAGCCAGTCTTTACCACGCCTCTGTTTCAGGCATGTTTCTGACTGGACTGGTTTCCGTCTGAGGCGTGGGCTTCAGATCAGCAGCTAATACGCCCAAACTCGACTTTGTAGCTTTACTAATGATTATAACATCTGCCTGGAGAGACAAAATAGTTGGGTGTAAGATTAACATCAACTAATGCTCTTAATAAATCTAATCTGTGATAAGATTGGTCATGATCTAACTGTGCTGCCATTGCCTTACAGAGAGCAGTTTGAACTCAAAAAAAGACTCTAAAGAGACTAAAGGTTTGGTTTGCTGGCTCAGATCTGTTCCTGTGGATCAAGAAACCATCGATAAGGTAAGCCCAGCTGAAGGTTTTTCTTTCTTTTAGTGTATGGCCAGTATTAATCATCTCTGTTTAGCTCACAAAGCCTCTCTTATTTATTAGCTGCTCTCTCATGAATTCACCTTGGACTGTCTCCTCCACATCGCCTCCAGGGATGACTTGATGTACTGTGGGTTAAGGTGAGCTGCCTCTGCACATCATCTTCACACAATCTGCCATGCAGAAACAGGAACGGGAGCATGTCATGCTTCAATGGCAGTAACAGTTTTTTATAATTGATGCCCTGGGTGAGCCTCTCCTTCTGGAGCCCCACAAACAGCTGGAATCACACCCACACACCTGGCTAGGCCCATTAACTTCTGCATACCATCAAACACTAAATAGATAGAAGTATCAGACTCAAAAAAAATGACTTCAACATAATTTTTTAGAAAAAAAAAATGTTTTTTTTTTCACCGATAGAGCTTTAAGTGTAGACCCTCTCTGGTTTAACAAAATAACAAAAACATATTTTTCTTTGTCTTGTGTTGCCCACCCCACCCCCTATGGCTATGCTGCCCTGGTCAGAGAGCCATATTCCCAATTTCAAAAGCTGCCATTGAACACAAAAATATTCTCTACAGAAAAAAAAAAACAGTTTTGTCTGGAGAATCTCTTCTCCGGTGGTCGTGACTCATCTTAAATTGCTTTTTCAGGGGCGCAATGCTGTGTCGACTCTGGGCGGCCATTGTGGCTCGGAGGAAGACCCATCTAAACACGCACATCAAGGACAGCGAGGACACCCAGCTTTAACGGCTGCTAAATTAAACGTCTAAGGACAGTTTACCTGACAGGCTGGCCCTGTGTGACTTGGAGGAAAAGCTGCTGATTGAAAGCAGATCTTAGTTACTGTGAATTAATTTAGGAAATATAAACATTTGTGTATGTAAGTAGAAATGAATATTTTTTAGTTATATTTTAGATGTATGTTTTCTAAATATCCTCAGGGCTTTAGTGTGTGGATTTGTATTTATTAGATAAAGAAACCTAGATGAGTATTAATATGTGGAAAAATGACCAACTTTTTAAACTTTTTTTATTTCTAAAGACAGAAACTAGTTTAACTTATAAACACTTTTAGGACAAACCACCCTGATTTGTATTGTACTGCATAGAAAATGAATTTATATAATAAAACTGTATTGTCCTCATGCTGCTGTTTATTTGGTTGTTTTCTGCCGGAGGGACATAGCATGGAAGAAGTGAGGTGGTGAACACTCATGAAATTCCACATCCGTGTCCTCATCTGTTTTCACAATGTTGACATCTCCTTAGAAACAGCCACATGAACTTCGTGTGACAGCACAACCGAACGTATGCATGTAATCTCCTCTTTATAGAAGATCTTTCTGTTTTAACTATCACACATTATGTGTAAATACACAAAAACACGCATTCAACAAATACAAAAGTTTGTTTTATTTTATATATTTTGCATTAATTGCTGAAGGTGAAACTTAAACAGACTCTTACAGTTTGGTGTTTAAGCCTTAAACAATTGTTTGCTATTAGGGTGTTTTTCTTCCTGTTTTCTTCACTTGTATGTTTGCGCCTATATGTTCCAGTCTCCCTCTGTGCTTGGATACGTTTATTTAGGATATGGGTTTTGCTGCATGACTGGTGTTGATGTTATTTGCTCAGGAAATGAGAAGCTTGAGACAATTTAGAAAAAGTATAGCTTCTGAATCATTGAAACAGCTGAAGAGTCGTCCTGTTACATGCAACTCATCATTGGTGAGTCACTGATAAGGAGTTTTAAAGCTCCTGAATCCTGTTTTAGTTACTGAAAAGAATAGATGAATCAAGTGACTTATTATACTTATAAACAAAGCTCACTTACCTCTGGTTAAACAGCTCTGGACTCTGAACTACTGTTTTTGCATTGTCTTCCTTTTCTTGGAAAAACTCAATTATTGCTAAATATACTGAATGTTGATGAAGTGCTGCATCCAAACACATTTTGTATTGACATCTTTTATTTATCCAGGTAAATCAAAGCCTCATTGAGATTTTTATTTTTTTTTTTTGCAGAAAAAAAATCCCCAAAAAATAAAAATGCTTTGCATAAAATGGCAAAAAAAAAAATCTAAAATGGAATCACATTTACTCTCTTCTTCTTTTTATTAGCAACTGGACCACCTCCCGCTGGGACGAGTCTGTGACGCCTCCTAAGGGGGGGTCCGGGGGACATTTGCAAAGATGTCCAGTCCACCTAAGCTGTGTCCTTTCAATCTACTCCGAGCTTCTTTCAGATGTCCAAACTCCTCATCCTGTCTGTAAGAGAGAGCACAGTCTCCCTGTGGCGATTTCAGCCCCTATCCAGGGTGTCATTCTTTCAGTTATGATTCAGATTTCATGACCATATGTTAGGGTAGGAACGTAGATCGACGGATAAATTGAGACTTTTTCCTTCCTGTTTTGCTCGCTTTAGCAAAGGAAACCAATGAAGTGTTTATATTATTACAGCATCTTTTGATCTCCTGCTCCATTCTCTCCTCACGGCTGACCAGGACCCCAAGATACTTGAACTTAACATCATTAATGACAAGTTTCATGTCCTTGACCACAGAAGAAAAATATAACCCTTTTGTAAAATAACAAAATAAAGAACTAAAGCGTACAGATCTGTAGAGAAACAGAAGGCTGGGTAAATTAAACATGCATTTTTTAATTATATTTTATGATAGACATTTCAGCACACAACATTATTTTAAAAAATCATGTTATCATATGGTAGAATATTTCAGTCCAGGTTGGACCAGCTGATATATTGTTACTTTTTTTGTCTTAGTTCTAAGGGAAATGCTTTCTTTGTGTTTTAATATTCAACGAATCTATTTTTCAAAGATCCACAGTACAGTATAAAATTGGTCTGATCAATCTATAGATGGACAGTTGATGAAATTTTATTCAGCCTTCTAAAAGCCCTTCTGAAAATATCTAATTCTGAAGATATGGGTTATTAGCACGGTTTTGCAAAATACAGTACAGTAGCAAGCCAAAGAGAAAAATGACGTTTACATAAGGAATTGAGCACCAGCCTTTATGGGCCTGGCCGTCCTACACAAGTTGTTAATTTGAAGCACTTTTTCTGCAAAACATTCAATGTATTTGAACATCTGGGATTGTAGAGGATTAGAAAAAAAAATAAAGACGGTATTAATGGTAAACCAATTCGAAAAAAGAAAGTTAAAGTTATATTGTGTTATGAGGGTCCCCTTACATGACCAAAGTGGCACATAACAGTATTAAAAGGCTGCTTTCCCTTCATATTTTTTTAAGGTTATCCATCTTAAATTATTTGGTAATAAAAAACAAATCCTGCTTCACCTTCAGCATAAAGATAACCGCACAATTTATTCTTACATTAAATAGTTGATGCTGAACAAATGAGGAAGTGCTCCAATAATTTAAGTCAGACATTGTTTTCACCTTGTGTCCTTGAAGGCTTCACAACCATCAGATCCGCTCACCATAGTCACTCAATAGCCCACTGTAAATTCTTGCTGAATGTATAGTTAAGAACACACACAGAACATGCTCTGCATTAGGATTTTCTACAGGTGCTGGTCATAAAATTAGAATATCATGAAAAAGTAGATTGATTTCAGTAATTCCATTTAAAAAGTGAAACTTGTATATTATATTCATACATTACATACAAACTCATATATTTCAGATGTTTATTTTGTTTAATTTTGATGATTACAAATGACAACAAATGAAAATCTCAAATTCATCATATCAGAAAATTAGAATATTGTGAAAAGGTTCAAAATTGATGGCCCCTGGTGCCACACTCTAATCAGCTAATTAACTCAAACCACCTGCAAAAGCCTTTAAATGGTCTTTCAGTCTAGTTCTATAGGCTACACAATCATGGGGAAGACTGCTGACTTGACAGTTGTCCAAAAGACGACCATCGACACCTTGCACAAGGAGGGCAAGACACAAAAGGTCATCGCTAAAGAGGCTGGCTGTTCACAGAGCTCGGTGTCCAAGCACATTAATAGAGAGGCGAAGGGAAGGAAAAGATGTGGTCGAAAAAAGTGTACAAGCAAGAGAGATAACCGCACCCTGGAGAGGATTGTGAAACAAAACCCATTCAAAAATGTGGGGGAGATTCACAAAGAGTGGACTGCAGCTGGAGTGAGTGCTTCAAGAACCACCACACACAGACGTATGAAAGACATGGGTTTCTGCTGTCGCATTCCTTGTGTCAAGCCACTCTTGAACCACAGACAGCGTCAGAAGCGTCTTGCCTGGGCTAAAGAGAAACAGGACTGGACTGCTGGTGAGTGGTCCAAAGTCATGTTCTCTGATGAAAGTAAATTTTGCATTTCCTTTGGAAATCAAGGTCCCAGAGTCTGGAGGAAAAGAAGAGAGGCACTTCATCCACGTTGCTTGAAGTCCAGTGTAAAGTTTCCACAGTCAGTGATGGTTTGGGGTGCCATGTCATCTGCTGGTGTTGGTCCATTGTGTTTTCTGAGGTCCAGGGTCAACGCAGCCACATACCAGGAAGTTTTAGAGCACTTCATGCTTCCTGCAGCTGACCAACTTTTTGGAGATGCAGATTTCATTTTCCAACAGGACTTGGCACCTGCACACAGTGCCAAAGCTACCAGTACCTGGTTGAAGGACCATGGTATCCCTGTTCTTAATTGGCCAGCAAACTCTCCTGACCTTAACCCCATAGAAAATCTATGGGGTATTGTGAAGAAGAAGATGCAATACACCAGACCCAACAATTCAGAAGAGCTAAAAGCCACTATTAGAGCAACCTGGGCTATCATAACACCTGAGCAGTGCCACAGACTGATCGACTCCATACCACGCCGCATTGCTGCAGTAATACAGGCCAAAGGAGGCCCAACTAAATACTGAGTGCTGTACATGCTCATACTTTTCATGTTCATACTTTTCAGTTGGCCAACATTTCTATAAATCCTTTGTTTTTATTGGTCTTCAGTAATATTCTAATTTTCTGATATGATGAATTTGAGATTTTCATTTGTTGTCATTTGTAATCATCAAAATTAAACAAAATAAACATCTGAAATATATGAGTTTGTATGTAATGTATGAATATAATATACAAGTTTCACTTTTTAAATGGAATTACTGAAATCAATCTATTTTTTCATGATATTCTAATTTTATGACCAGCACCTGTACATGTTGGAGTTAGAAATAAATATTCTATATTTAGTCTTTTCTGAGGCAAGATGACCACATGCTGTTAATGCTAGTCTGGAACACTAACTGAGTCACTGAGCCTGTGTGCAACTGCGTGGCAAAAGATGTCACCTTAAATTAATTTTCTATTGCAGAAATTTTTATCTGATGAGTCAACCACCCATTTTCCAATAAGCTTTATAGCACAGCAGCATTGACCTTGCCTATACCTAATAATGTGCAGCCTGCAAGTTCAGATCAGAGGCGAGGTGTCAACACTGAATGTCTAGCGAGCCAAAGCATTACAGGTCTTAAGTAACACTGTTTCTAATTTCTAATTGCTTTTGGGGATTATAGAAGAATCTTGATGTGCAAGTTATTATTTCTTTTCTTCCTGCCTTCTGAATGACATTTGAAAAGCAACATGAGTGTAGTGCAGGAAAGCCATGCATGTAAAACAGAATGGTTTAGGATGAATAGACTTTTAGCTGCTTTTATTCACTATTGCTATGTTTTCTGAAATAAACATAGTTTATGGTTTGCAAATAACCCATAAACATTCCATATCCTGGTCATACAGTGGTTCTGACAAAAGAATCCTTGAAAAACGCCAATGTTGATTCCCTAGTCGGGCATTCAAAGCTGAGCCAAGTCACTAATAATCTACTTTTTTGTGTTACCATGAGTGTTTTTCAGTTTATACTGTAAAAAAGATCCTTGACAAAAGACAGGAAAATAAACTTGACCTAAAGTAAAAGCAAAACCTATCTGAGCACTCTCTAGCGTTGAAAAATAATGATTTATGCATTTTTAACTATTTATTTAGCTGTTTTCTCTTGGTGAAAGGAACTCAATCTTTGTTCTGTCTGGAGCTGCAGCGCCACAATTTACAGACAAATACAATAAGGAGGACTGCTGTCTGGGCGAATTTGGATTCAGAATGATTGAGGAAACAACAGTATGGGATTACTAAGAT